CTCTCTCCTCATTCTGGCTGGCTGGAATGCAGTTGCACTGGCTGGAGCAGAAGCACCACCTGGGACCACGAGGCAGCAATTTAGGATGGTAGGGAAGCAAGCTGGAAGGAAATCTGGAGTCGCAATGCCAGCCTTGATCTGCCTATCTGTGGACTTTGTTTACATTAGAGAGAGAAATGTCTATGTTATTGAAATCTGTTATTTGAGGATTTTGTGCTGATCCCAACAAACACACAGGTCCTACGTGGTCTTCTCACTTCTGCCTTGGCCCAGGCCCCTCCCTATTCCCAACATAGCAACCAGGGTGCTTCCTTAAACGTAAGTTGTCCCTCCTCCTTGATGGCTTCCCTCTCATTCTGACCAAAAACCAAAATATCCAAGCCATCAAGGTCCCTGCATGACGTGTGATATATGCCCCCCTCACCTCACCGACCTCGTCTCCTCCTACTCCCACCTACTCCCACCCTTGTGCACCCGTACCCACGGCAGCCACAGTGCCCTCCTGTCTGTTTCCAGAGCGCTCGGCGTGTGTCCTGTCTTGGGGCCCTGCGCTCACTGTTCACTCTGGTGGAGGCCTTGCCCGGGGTACCCTCTTTGTCCTGGCTCCACTCAAATTCACCTCCCCTGGGAGACCTTCCCTGACCCTTCTACCTAAAACCCACTGTGTCTGGTGTGCTGTGATTCTCCACGACCGCTCACCGCAGGTGCGCATTCCTGTCTTGTGCGTTTTCCCCTTCCCCTCCGGGAGAGGGAGGGCCTTGAGGGCTGGGCTGGCCCCTGCTTTGTTTACAGCTCTGTGCTCCTTCCTGAGAACAGTGCTGGCAAGTAACAGGCGCTCAGTAAATACATGGGATGCATGAAGGAACAAAAAAGCTGCTCCCAGGTGGGGGTTCTAGCTGTTTCAGGGGAAGGGAGACAAAATCCTGATACAGTAAACCTTGGTCTTTGGGAAACTTGATACAACGGAACCTTGGAGAACAGGATGCTTGGAACAAATTCCTGTCGAGTCTGGGATCTTGTTTGCCTCTTGCCAACAGAGGTGAGAGGGTAGAGCCTTTTAGGGCCGGTACTTATTGAAAAAGGATGCTGCAGAGCAGAGGATAGATAATTCAGATTTTTTTTCCCTAAAGAAATATTTAATTCTTCCAGCCTGTCACTCTAAACCATTGGTTCTCAAGGGGGCTGATTTTGCCCCTTAAAGGACATTTGTCAGTGTCTGAGACGTCTTCAGGTGTTACGAGACACTGGTGGGAGGTGCTACTGGTGGCTGGTGGGTAGAGGTCAGAGATGGTGCCAAGCATCCTACAATGCACAGGTCAGCCCCCACAACGGGGAACAATCAACCCCAAATGTCGCTGGTGCCAAAGTGGAAACGCCCTGGTGTAAGCACGTGGTGAAGTCACAGTGCTCGGATCACGCTCGCTGGGCTGGTGTGGGATGCAGGCTCTGGAGCCTGGCACGTCCAGGGGGCGTGGGAGGGGGACTGTTTTGCTTTCGGCAGGGTCAATCCTTAGTTATTGACAAGTGTTTCCATCCATAGGTCAATAATCTGGCAAACACTGAATATTCAGCGCGTGCCTGCACCCTGGGTCATTACTTCTGGTTTGTTCCACTCCCCTGCACACTCACCCTTCCCTTGTCACCCAACTTTTGCAGGCTTGCTGTGCATTGGAACCTCTTCTGGTAATGAGCGAATGAATGAAACACATGTCGGAAGGTAGATGACAAGGGACTCACGAGGGGCCTAGGACAGTGTGGCTGTCTTTGGCCCAGGGAACTTCACGGAGGAGGGCTCAGCAATAAGCGTTTGGCAAATGACCCTGGACTGCTGGGGAATGGGGTGGTGTCTGGGGGATGCACAGCATCCACCCCACATTGGTTTATTTCATTGGTGCTCCATTCCCTAATTTTATGGGGAAATCCACACGTGGACTGTCCCTAGTTAATCCAGATATCAGCTTCTCTTGTTGGACTTCATCTTAGAAGATGAATAACCAAAAGACATGTGATGGCTGAAAATTGTGGGCACTTCGATTCTGATGAACGAGGTCTTACATTATGTGAAAATCAAGATTTAGAAACCAAACCCTGGCAGGGGTGGGGCAGAGAAAGGAGCCTGCTTTGATCAGCCCGGGATTTCTCTAAGGGGCTGCCCCTGGGCAGCACCCTGGGAGTCACCTGAAGGGCCGCATTTGGTTTCCATGCACCTGTTAGCGTGCCAGTCCTGGGCGTTTAGGACAGAATAGTCTCTCCTTTCTGTCTTCTTCCCCTCTGTCTTCTGGAGTGTAAGCTCCTCATCGCACTTTAGAAATCAGAATGTTTGAGATTAGCGGACCAGGAATGTCAGTGTGGTTAGCTTTGCCTAAACGTAATGAAAACCGGAATCCCTGAGTGCGGGGCCCCACCCTGCGCAGCTCTCTGTGTGTGGGCCCTGGGGCAGAGCCAGGCGCTCGCTGCCCTTGGGCCATTTACAACATTAGGAGGTCTCACCCTGGGCATTGAGCATCCTGCGGGCAGGGCCACTGACTGAATAAGTGCCATCAGGGTCAGAGGGCGCGGTGCCTGCGAGATCTGGACACAACAAGAACACAGGAAAGATTACTTTGGTTTAATCTTCTCCCCGTTGTTAGCTAATAGTTGTTTGTTTAGAGGAATAGGGCAGAGGAAAAGAAGAAGAAAGACTGAGGTGGAATTGATTCAAATGCAAGCCGTCCTCAGGACAAGCCCACCGCAGGGCCCTCGTGTCGGCGCCAGCGTGGAGGGGGGGGTGCCGGCACCTCCTCAGGAGGCTTGCGCTCGAGCCAGGTGAACGGGTTTTCACGCTGGGCTCAGGACACAAGCAGAAATGTTGGTGGGGAATAATCCGGGCCTTCCAGAGACATCTTCCCGGCGAAGGCGGAAGGACAGACGTGCAGTTTCGGCTTAGGGTCCTCCTCAAAGGAGCGTGGGTTCTCATTTCCAAGCAGGGCCCTCGGTCCCGGGAGCCTGGTTCTGTTCCCAGACTTGCTGGGGGCCAGGCCCATCTCGAGCGAGCACAGAGAGGTCTGGGCACCGGGAGGAGGTTGGTAAATATTTGAGAGGGTCAGTTGAGAGGGTGGGGCCTGAGCTCCTTGCAGGGTAGGAAAGGAGGGTCACTCTGAGCTCCACATGAAGTAAACATGACAACTTTTCCTGGGGGCAAACCGCTCCCTCAATACACTGGGTAGGTGGGAGAATGGAAACAGTGAGGAAGGGTCCGGAAAACATAAGCACAGATCCTGATTCTTCTGCCTCCTTGATTCTGTCCTTCCTTCCTTCAACTGTTAAATTCCTTCGCTGAGCACTTTTGAGGGGAGTGAATGGGAGGAAGCCATGGGTGAGTGCGCAGACATGCAGTGCCTCAGTTTCCCCATCTGTGTGTCATCGGGTCTTCCAGCACCCGACACTGCCCATGAGACCCTCTTCACCACCAGAGGATGCCCATCCATGTCCTGGGGACCAGGGTCAGCCTCCCCGTGTGCGACCCGACCAGTCGCACAGAGCCCTGGCTCAGGAGGGCCCTGAACTTGGTTCATTGCTTTTCAGTTGCTGTCTCGAAATTCTTAATTTTTGAACAAGGGATCCCAAATTTTCAGCCTGCACTGGATCCAGCAGATCATGTAACCAGTTCTGCCCGGGGCTTTGGGTTTTGAACCAGGGGAAAGGGGAAGGATTTGATTGGGCATGGCGGCCCTTAGGGAAGAGGGCATGACATCTGAACACGGTGCCGTGGACTGGGTGTGAGCAAGGCCAGATGCAGGAGACGGCTCCTCAAGACTCCTGCAGGGCCCGGCCCTGTGGCCTAGTGGTTAGGTTCACGTGCTCCATTTTGGCGACCCGGGGCTTTCACTGATTCGGATCCTGGGTGTGGACATGGCACTGCTCTTTAGGCCATGCTGAGGCAGCGTCCCACATAGCACAACCAGAGGGACCTACAACTAGAATGTACAACTATGTACTGGGGCTTTGGGGAGAAGGGAACAGATGTTAGCTCGGGGACAATCTTGCTCACCAAAAAAAATAAATAAATAAATAAAAAAGAGCAAACTCCATGTGGAATGTGGGTAAAGGCTGAGCTTTTTCGGGGACCAAGTAGCCACATTAGTGACAGGGTCGGAGAGAGTTCCCTCACCCTACGAGGGCCCGGCCCTGCTCCAGCGTCCACACAGTGAGGGAGGTCAGGAGTGGATTGTGGTATGTCGGGCTCCTTCCTGAGTGGCAGCTGGTGCGTGAACAGCAGAAGGCAACAGGGGATAGGCACAGAGGGGAAGAGGGACATGGTAGACAGATGTCATGTGCCACTGCCACTAACAGCTGGCCTTGTGGACCCACGTAGGGGCGTCCTCTGTGTGTGTGTGGGGAGGGGGCATGTATTGGAGTCCTTTTCCTGGCACATTTTGTACATTTGTACATTTGTACCCTGAGAGTTTTGAAACCCAGAGACATTTGGCGGACAGGTTACATGGGAGTCGGGGGGCTGCTGACTCTGCATCGCGCTGGAATTTAGGAACCTCAGAGTGAAGTTCATTAGAACGGGAGCTGGGCTTCACAGACGCTCAGGAAAGAGCAGCTGTTGTAACTGCTCTGCAGACCTGGTCCTGATTTTCTAGAGCTGACATCAGAGTGCAGGCATGCCCGGATTCTCTGCTGCCCATCAGAACGTCAGCTGGACGGGCCTTCAAAGTCATCAGTAACAGCTGCTCCCTCATCCGGAAGGGACGGAGGCCCAGAGCTGTTTGGTGTTATTCCTGGGGTCCTGGACAAAAATTCCCACCTTCTGACCCCATGAGCATGCTTTTCTCACTAGACCAGACTAGGCCACCCCCAGGTCACTTTCAGGTCTGCTCACCTGGTTTTCTCTCGTTGCTGAAGTCTAGTGCAAGAGAGCGGGCTGGGCAGAACTGAGGGAGGCTGGAGGGGAGGGGAGGGTTCTGCTGGGCCTTCCTGACTCCCCACCACTGACCATTCTTGTCCATCCTCAGGTCTCCGCTCAGATGTCGTTGAACTGGGAAGGCTTCCGGGAGACCCTCGGCTGCGTCAGATGAGTCTGGAATAGCACGTAAGACAGTGGTTCTCAAACTTCCCGTCCATTCTGTGGGCTCTGAAAACCTTCCACGAAATTTCCCCTTTTGCCTGATAGTTGGCTTCAGATTTTGTTACTTGCAAACCAGACCCCTGACTGTTCCTGGTGGCAGGGATGGCCTGGGAGGAGATGAGGTGCTGGGGCTAGGATGTGTCGGGGGATACACAGGAACTGTCTCGACCTGCTTGGGGCCTGTGGCTGGCGGGCGTGGAAATCTTGCTAGATAACCATGGATGAATGAGACACCAGCTCTTGGTGACTCGCCAGGATGTTGTTGAATTTAGAGTGCTTGCTTAAGAAGTGGGGCCCATGTCCCTGAGCTTGCAGGGTGGTTGGGACGGGGTACGGAGGTGGGGACAGACGGTGCTTCTCCCCGCTACACCTTCCTGCCCAGGTGAGCTCAAGTTGTCAGGAGGGGCATGCTTGTGCTGACCAGACCTCGGGCTTTTCTGCAAGTTTGTTCAAGAGTCTGGAGCAGTTTCCTTGGGGGACTGAGCCTGGAAATGGAGTGTGAAAATGCTCCACCTCGAGAACGAACCTGCAGAGGTTCACCAAGAACAGCAGTTTGGGTGAGCCAGCGTCTGCAGGGTCCTCGGGTGACCTTGCTCTCTTTTTGAATAGCAGTGAATAAACTGATCTTCACCCCAAAGTGAGGCCAGGAGAACGCGCTTTCTCATCGATGGGTTCACTGGATGCGTAGCTGACGCACGTCGGCTGGGTAGCATCTCCTGGATGAATGCTGGTTTGAAATTGCACATCTGAGTGGGACAGTGCCTCAGGCAAAGGCCACTGGGAGGCGCTCCCGCTGGTCATTTGCTCACAAGTTTGAAGGAAACACATTAATAGGCCCATGAGACCTGTGGCAAATGTGCAGCTTTGACTTTGGGCCAGGCATCCCCCCCAGGTGGAGCAGCCTGTCCCCTTGGGCATCAGGGCCATCTCTCGGGGATATCTGCCTTCCTAGAAACCTTTAGCAGAATTCCATGCATTGCACAATCTGAGGTTAATTTGTGCTCTGCTTGACACGGGGAGACAGATGGTTGTAATAAGGGCCCCCAGTGAATCTCAGTGAAATCAGTGAATCTTTCGCCCCACCCGTTTGCACTGTGGGGCTGATATTCTTCCCATCAAGGAGTAGGGCCTGTATTTCCATCCCCTCAATCTTGCCTGGCCCTGTGAACTGCGTTGACCAAAATAATGTGGAGGAAGTGACATTGGGCAAGTTCTGGAGCCTCAAGAGCCCTGAGAGCTCCCACTGTCACTCTCTTGGAGCCCTGGGACCTGCATAGTGGTTGGAAGTTTGGTCCAGCCTGCTGGAGGACAGAGGCCATGTCAAGGAGGTCCGAGGTGCCCCAGCCAACAGCCAGCATCAACTGCCAGCCAGACATGTGAGTGAGGCTGTCATCGACCACCCAGCCCAGTATCAGCCAAGTGGAGCCACACGAGTGAGCCCAGATGAGTACAGGATAATTGCCCAGGCAGTCCACAGAATTGTGAGAACTAACAAATTGTTGTTGTTTTGAGTCACAAAGGACTGTGTTGGTTTGCTACTAAGCAGTAGACAGCTGAAACAGATACTCACTTGATGATGTTTTTGGAGAGTGGCTGGAAGGTATCATGTCGCCATTTTTTGTACTTTGAATGCGGCAGCAACTGCTGTATATGGAGCCTAGGATAAACAATAGTCTAAATTTACTTGGAATTGCCCAATTCATGAAATTCACTCTCCATATCAAAACTTGGTTTTTTTTTAAACTTATAAGTTGTAGACCAAAAATCCATTCCTTTCGTATGTTCTTTGTGAGTCAAAGATTATTAGGCTTATTATTTTTATTTATTTATTTTTTCTGGAGACACGGCCCTGAACCTACCAGAATCGATGTTTGTTGTTTTTTTGTTGGGAAAGATTCACCCTGAGCTAACATCTATTGCCAATCTTCCTTTTTCTCTCTCTTCTTTTTCCTCCCCAAAGCCCCAGTACATAGTTATATATTCTAGTTGTAGGTCCTTCTAGTTCTTCCATGTGAGCCTCTGCCATCGCATGGCTACTGACAGGTGAGTGGGGTGGTTCTGTGCCCAGGAGCCAAACCTGGGCTGCTGAAGCTGAGCATGCCAAACTGTAACCACTAGGCCATCAGGGGTGGCTCTCCCAGAATCAAATTTTAACCTGTCTCCATGCCAAGTATTTAGGGGGTGACATATCATGATGTCTGAGGTTTGCTTTGCATAATTAGCAGTTATAAAAAAAATTTGACTCTGTATTCCAAAGTTATCACAATCAAAATCATTTTCGAGAGTTTATGACATCTGCTAAACATGATAGTGATGAAAAGTTTAAGTACTATTGTCCTTTGTCTGCGCTCCCCAGATACCCTCTCCATCTTCCAGAAGTGTGTTCCTGGTACATGTGCCATGGGCTAGAGTTTAAGAGGAAAGGAGAGACAAAGTTGGGGAAGAAACTGAACCAGCAAATGTTTGGAGAGTTCCCATTGAACTTGCCATCAAGGCCAGCTTGGCCTTCAAAGACTGCTTTGTGGTCACATCTGGGGAGATGATGGCGTCTTCTTCATCCTCACACCTCAACGCCTGGCCCAGCCCCAGCTGGGATTCTCCTCGCAGACGTTTGGGCAGATAGTGGAGAAGGAAAGAGCTTCCCAGGTCTTCGCGAAGATGGGACATAACACATCAAACCACATCGTCACTGAGTGCTCTACAAAGAGAGGGCACAAGACTCTGACCTCCAAAAGGTGAGCCTTCCTGGCACCAGCCTTTCCCTTGCCCAGCCTCCTGTGGGAAAAGTTCTTCATCTAGCAGCGTTACATGCTAATCCTTGAGGCAAGAGGGTAGGTCTTAACAGCCCTACTTAATCCCATCCCCCACCTCCCCCTGACATCATTAACTTCCACCCAAATGACATTTCCAGAGCTCTCTCCTCTGGCTCTGCCCTTGCTGCCCCCTCACCAACTCCTCAATATTCCCATCTGGATGTGACCTGGGCACACCTGTCACTGCCCTGTCCTACCATTTTGGGACTGTTTGCTTATTTCTCTGCCTTCTCCATTTACAGGCAAATTCTTGGAGGGCAGGGTGTGTCTTGCTCATTCTTGTTTTTGGGCTATAGCTTAGTGCTTGACCCACGATTGGGGCTGAATACGTGTTTTTGGAATGAATAAACAAGGCAACCTTTTTTTTTTTTTTTTTTTTTGAGGAAGATTAGCCCTGAGCCAACATCTGTGTCAGTCTTCCTCTACTTTATGTGTAGGATGCCCACCACAGCATGGCTTGATAAGCAGTGCATAGGTCTGCACCCAGGATCTGAACTGGCCAACCCTGAGTTGCCAAAGCAGAATGTGCAAACTTCATGGCTGCATCACTGGGCTGGCCCCAAGGCAATCTTTGAGAGAGCAATCTGGTCTCCTGTCTCTGAAAGACAGAATGTGGGGCTCTGAAATAGCCTATGTTTGTCATTATTACCATTTTTAATACTTAAAGACAGATAAGCCTTTTTGCTAAGTATCATTTTGGGAACTTGACAATGTTTTGGAGAGAATGTTCTGGTTTCTCTTTCCCTACTTGCCTTGTAACTCCAGAGGCACACACAGAAGCAAAAATAACTTCCCTGAGCTTCATCAGCTGAAGCAACGAAACAACATATTGTTAGCTGAGAACCTTGGCGCCAAGGTCACCAGCTTGTGATTAGTTCAGTAACACCTACGTCAGTCATAATGCCAGGTGGCTGAAGGTACCTAGCCTCTAGTGGGGCAAACAGACCTGCAGTTGCCTCCCTGCCTTATGTCACTCCTAGAAATGAAGGTGGCCTCACTCTGGACCGCTAATACGCAGCTGGCGTCAGTCCCGGGAGACTCGCTGTGTCAGCTCTTTATCGGATGGTCTCAGACAGAGTTCACAAGGCAGAACAATGCCTCCTTCTTTGAGTCTGTGGAGAAAGGGACCTCTTTTCTTGTGATTAACAAGTCTCTGTGAATGAATGAATGAACCAAAAAAACCCAGGAAAAAACAAGTCTCTGAATTTTTTTCCTATTTTTCCATGTCCCTGACAGGGCATTCACCAGAAAACATCAGCAGATGACAAAACTTGGCATCATTTCTCATCTTCTAGGATTAAGGCTTACAAATGAAAGCCTGCCGTGTCCTTGGTATGGCCCCACCATGCATGCTCATTCATTCATTCAACAGATGTTAACTGAGTGTCGGCTTAGAGCCATTAGAGATGCAGCAATAAATAATAGTCATGGTCTTGGCCCTTGAGTGGTGAAAACAGATCACACACACACATACACACACACACACACACACACACACAGAGAATGGCAAAGAAGGTTGGGGCACACTTGTGTGTTATGAGGGAAACAAACAGGAGAATGAGATAGAACCCAGAACCAGCCTGACCTATTTGAAATTAAATAACTCATAAAGATTAGGTCACTAGAATAAGAAAGTGAAGATGGCTTTAGGTAGGATTGTTAAGAGATGGCCTCTCCAAGAGTGGACGTTTAAGACAAGCCTTAAAGATGAGGATGGGAAGATCATTTCAGGCAAAGGGAACAGTTATGGCAAATGCCATGAAATAAGATTTGGGAAAGTTCAAGGGGCAGAAGGACAACCCCAATGGCTGGTGCACAATGTTAGTGGGGAGAGAATGGCATGAGACAAATCTGGTGGGGGATCCAGAGACAGATCACACTGGGCCAAGATGCCAGGAACAGAGAGGAATTTTGTTCTTGACTGATGGGAAGCCACTGGAAAAGTTTTAAGCACGGCAGTGATGTAATACATGTACTTTCAAGGGCATCACCTCTGTAACTCTATGGGAAATGAGCTGCAGAGCTGTGGGTGGGGAGAGAGTGGTAGATGGGAGCAGTGGTGGTGGTGGTGGTGAGGGTGGTGACGGTGGTTGATGATGGTGATGGTGGGGGTGCAGATGGTGGTGGTGGTGGTGAGGGTGTGGGGGTAGGATAGGAGTGAGGGTTGTGTTGATGGTGGTAGGGGTGATGGTGGTGGTGGTAGCCATGGTGATAATAATGATGGTAGGGTTGGATATGGGGGCTGGCGAAATGGTGGTGGTGGGGGTGATGGGGTGGGGGTGGGGGTTGTGGTGGTGGTAATGGTGATACTGGAGGTGAGGGTGGTAGTGAGAGGGGTGATGGTGGTAGTGGTGATGGTGGGGCTGTGGGTAGTGTTGGTGGGGTGGTGATGGTGGTGGTAGGGGTGATGGTGATGGCAGTGGTGGGTACGGGGACTGGTAATGTTGGTGGTTATAGTTGTGGTGGGGGGATAATGTTGATAGTAGTGAGGTGGTGGAAGTAGGGGTGGCGTGATGGTTATGGTCATGGTGGGGGTGGGGATGTTGTTGATGGTAATGGTAATGGTGATATTGGTGGTGATGGTGGTGGGATGGTGAGGGTGGTGGGGATAATGGTGGTAGTGATGATTATGTTGCAAGTGATGGTGGTGAGGGCAGTGATGGTGGTGGTAGTGAGGAGGCTGGGGGTGGGGTGGGAATGGGTGTTGTTGTGGTGGAGGCAGTGATGGTGGTGGTGGGGGGGTGGTCTGGGTAGTGGTGATGGTGATGGTGGTGAAGAAGGGTGGGGTGTTGGGGGTGGTTGCGATGGTGATGATGGTGGTGGTGGTGGTGGTGGGGGTGGAGTGGGGGGGGATGCTGGTGATGGTGATGCTGGGGTTGGGGTGGAGGCAATCTGGAGACATTTGAAGTACTTGAGGAAAGAGGTCACAGTGGCCAGGGGAGGTAGTGGCAGTGTAAATGGATGAAAGGGGCCATGGGTCGATGCATTTTGGAGATTACATTGACAGGATTTGCTGGTGGGGTGAGGAAAAGGGAGGAATCAGGATTTTTGCCTTGAACACCATGTGCTGGAAGAAGCCAGAGCCCCATCTGAGCCTCTTTGGGGCATGAGGTCCATGAGGCGCCCACGTGGGGTGGTCCCCAGGCAGTTGGAAAATCAAAACTGGAGGTCAGGGGAGAAATCGGCCTGGATTTATAATTGGGCGTCATCGTGGTTAATAGGGCTCTTCCCATTCATAGAATGGATGAGTTTGTCTATAGTGAGAATTTCGAGGGGTAAGAAAAGAGCGTCCGGGTGGTGAGGAAGCAGAGGGAGGGGCCAGCAGCTGGCATTTGGGTGCAGCTCCAGAAGGGCAGTGGGGGCTGGTGGAGCAAGCAAGCTGAGGGAGAAGGAGGTGGCGGTGCCAGGCGGGCCACTTGAAATTTGACTTCAGATGTGGTTGAACGTCATGGCGTAAAGATGATCCCAATTAGGGACTTCTTTCTAGAAGTCACTTCGTTACCACCGTGCTTCCCTGCAGCGTGACTCGTGTGGAGGCAGTGGAGCTCTCAGGGCGTTTCATCTGGAATGTCACTTCTAACTGGGGAGCTGGGTCTCCCACAGATCACCCAGCTGCACCACCTGGCCAGGTCCACAGCGGAGGGAGGAATGCATGGCATAGACAGTGGCAGACAGACCACAGAGGCAAGAGGGACAGTGCTGGGATGAGAACTAGGGCCTTCAGTTAAAGAGAGAGCAGAGAGTCGAGCTGGGCCATGGGAAGGCCACGGGGAGAGGCAGGGGGTGGGCAGGAGGAGGAGCGGCTCGGAGCTTTGAGGCACTTGCTGACCATCTCCCCTACGCCTGGGTGGTTGTCCATGGCTACATGACCCATTGCCCCCAGATCTGGGGTTTCAAACAGCAATCACCATTGATTATGTCCCACAGTGTCCCTGGGTCAGGAATTCAGACACGGCACAGCAGGATGGCTTGTGTTTGCTCCATGACAAGGCCTCATCTGGAAGATGTGAAGGCCAGGGACTAGAGTCATCTGAAGTCATCCACCCATGAGCTTGGAGGGGCTGCTGGCTCTCTGCTGGGACTCCACATTTGCTCCCCACGTGGCCTGGGCTTCCTCACAATGTGGCTGGTCCCATGCGTAGGCATGGGGGAGGAGAGAGAGAGGGAGAGAGAACGAGAGAGTGAGAGAGAGGTATGTGAGCACAGTGCCTGGCACCCACTCTGGGCCAGGTCGGGCCTGGCTGAGTACTGAAAAAGCAGAGATGAGCAAAGCTGGCCCTGCCCTCCACTCAGGCCATGGGGAGTGAGCTCCTCATCGTCTCCACAGGCACTAGGTGCAGGCTGGGTGACTTTTGTAAAGGTCCGCGTGCAACGGGGACAGCCCTTGCCAGGATCCTCCGTCCCCCAAGGTCTCTGGGGGTGGTGTGTCTCTGCAGGGTCCGAGGGAGGTTGGGGTATGTGTTGCTGGTAGTTGGGAGAGACGGGCTTTCACTCCACCGGCCACTGGCTCCTGGAAAACCGACGTTACTCTCAGGGTGAAATTAGACAATTGAGTCGAGGGGCTCTTTCCTTCTGCAGCAGATGTGTGCCTGAAAAGAACTGTCAGAGAATTCCATTAAAAATCAAAGTGTTTCACCATTTTTCAAAAATTTCTGTAATATTATAGTTTTTAGAATTAAAAACTTGCAGTAACTTTAAGCCCTGATTTTCCTGTGTAAGAGTTGCATGGTCTGGGATGCTGTGCTGGTAAAGCGGACTCTTTGTTTCCATCCCATGCCACAGCTTCCGGGTGTTTCTGTGACACAGCTATGGCATCATGTTGGATCAGTGCATCAGTCAAGCTACTACCGCAGGTGAAACTCCAGGCCTTGTGCATCACGTGGCCCTCCCATATAAAGCACAACAGTTAAGCAATCGACTCCCTTGGGATTTGTTGAGTAAATTTGGATTGTTGTATGTTTCACATATTTTGTATATCATAACTCAATGATGGTGACATTTTCTTGGACTCTGGTTCTGGTTTCAAAGCACTGAGTGGGTGTGTAGTGCCCTGTGCCTGATCACCGCAGATCTGCGGGCTTGGTGTGGGCAGGGCCATGGTCAGTTTTAGAAACTAGTTTTAACCACAAACAATCCACGGAATGAGGCGGTCTCTGGTGGTCCCTGACTTCTGAATCCGCAGCTGTCAACAGAGGTTCACAGAGTCCTGTGGTTGGGTAAACATTTTCAGTCTGCCAAGATACAGTGTGTCTAGAGGGAGATGGCTTCAGGGTCCCCGTCTGCGGCATGCCCTCCATGGAAGGCTCATTCTGGCTTTGGTTGATGTCACGAGGGACCTGGCAAGGAGGGAGTGTGCCCGAGGAGTGTGCTGCATGGGGACCTGTGGAGTGAACCCAGAGGAGGTGGGGAAAAGGTAAAAGTAAATATCATGCTGAAATGAAAAAGTAAATATTGAGGCAATCATGGGTAGGACACAAAACGAGACTAGCAATAAAGGAGATACCCAGTGACCCACAAGTGGTCACAAAAGAAGAGACAGAACTGTTTGGTAAGTGGATGCTGCTCTCTCCTTGCCCCTCCCCCTGTGTCCCCGCCCTGCCCAGTGCCCTGTGGCCTGCCTCCTGTGCCCGCCTGGGCTGTGGCACTTCTTCCTCTGCCCCTCCCTGTCTTGGCACCACGGCTCACGGTGGCTGCACCCCGAGTGGCTTCAGTCCCACCGGGCTGCAGGAACGCTGAGCTCCCCAGCCCTTCAGCCCTAGGGTGTAGACAGCTTCGAGGGGTTGCCCACTCCACAGGCTCCATCACCCCTGGTTTGTTCCCTTACACTTGCGTACGTCTCCCTCCATTAAAGTGCTTATCTAAACCATCTGAGTTGAAATCTGTTTTCTGCCAACACCCTGATGAAACAATAAGAAGGAACTTTCTAATCATGCCAAAGCGAAACAGGCTTCCTGTGAGTTCTTGCCATTAGATGTGATCACGGTGAATTTGGATGATGTGTCAGTTCAGGAAGCAGATGCCAAGATGAAATCAGACACGCAGGAGATTTATGGGGAGATCCTTGTCTATAGAGGAGAAAGGGTTGAGAGAGCCAGTGCAACGCAGCTCTGATATTCATGAAAGTAGAAATCAAAGGATGGAGGATTGGGGAGGGAGAGCCCTGAGAAATCCTAGCCAGCCCAGGGGGAACCTTGGTGCCAAGGTTGCCTACTGGAGGGCTCCCACTCTCGCAGGAGGACCATGCTCAGGCATCAGCTGGGAACAGCCTGGGGAGAGTGAGGTCTTGGTGGAAGTGCCACAGTGGACACGAAGGTGTGGCAGCTTGGGGCTGTCCACCATCTTCTCTTGGAGAGATGTCTGAACTGCATTACTCTGGGGGCACCAATTTTTGGCGATGTCTTGGAGGCCAGGGACCCTGGACAAGTTGACCTCCACGCTCTCTACATGTGTTTCTGAGCTCACCTTAGGCCAGGTGTGGGTGGTCCCCATCACTCCCTTCCTGGGCTGGACTTATCCAGATGAACTTCTCCATCATAGTCACTGACTGCTTTGGTCAGGAGCCACCATCAGTGGTGTGAGCACTGGAAGTGAGTCCTCAGAGGAGGTCCCCAAGACGAAGGACAATGGATTCTTGATCTGTCACAGAATGTTTTATGCCAGTTGAAAACAAGCCCGATGTCTCGGCGGCCAGGTATTTGCAGTGTATAATTTTGAGAATGCAGCCACAAGTAAGCACCTGGAAAAATATCTGCAAATGTAGATGCTCAGCTGCCGGCTGTTCCATGTTGCAGGTGCTGCGGATGATGGAGATGGTCTGAGGACTGGGCCTTGGTTTTCTAGATCTTCTGCCTCAGTGGACCCCAGATTTAAGGCAGGATGCCAGTTTTGCACATTCCATCTCTTGCTTTTAGCCCATCAGTGACTTTGGCAGAACAAGACGATGAAAGCCTCCAGATACTTATGACAAGAATATATATCCCAGTTTGATGTGTTATACAGTGGGGCTTATTACATCCCCCAATTTTCTAGATGTCTTTTAATATATGCATTGTATTCAGTTAATTGCCTGTTGGGTGCTCTGCTTTGTAATACAGCAGAAAGTCTCAGAATCATAGTAGTAGCTCCTGTTTATTGAACATTTAATGTGTTTCAGGCAGTACATGATGTATTCTTATCTTTTCATTCTCTTAACAATTTCATGAGATAGATGTTATTATCCCCATTTATAGGATCAAAAAACAAGGCTCAGAGCTGGTGAATAATTAGCTCAGCCTCACACGTCTATCAGGTGGGGGATCTGAGATCTAGACCCTTTCCGTGACTTTCCAAACCTGTGCCTTGACCAGGAAATCTGTGAGAAAAAGGCAGAAAGCGCCAGCGACTGGACTTTGCCCAAGGTCATTGCTGCCGTATTGAAGCAGGGGGAAGAGAGGGAGCAGAAGGCACTCCTCTCCCTGCCTTTCCTTGCAGTTCTGGAAACCTGCATCTTGGCAGACCATAAATACCGTGCCTCCTCATCCTGCTGGACTGGAGATGTGGCCTCTGGGGGAGATCGCTCTTTGTAGGACCCTGCGGTCTCAGCAGCGACTTCCTGTTGGGACTTGCTGAAGTGCCTTGGGTAAATCATCCTTAGTCTCTTCTCTCTTCACGTTCTCCATCGTCTGCCACATGATACATAGTGTTTTGTTCTTTTAGGGTGGTCTCTGGAGGACAAGCAGGATAAGGAGTCAGAGGTCCTCCAGGAATTTTTCCTAACCTCTGCTGGTGGCTGCCCCGGGGTTGGTCAGCTCGCTGGACTGTGCTGTCCTCCTCAACTCTCTTCGCAGGAGAAAGGGGTGTTGACCATCCCTTGGAAGACAGAGCCTCAGAGTCATGTCCTCCTTAGCATTTCTTTAAGGCTCTGGCCAGCAGCTTGTCATGCCAGCACATTAGCTCCAAGAGGAACAGAATCTAGTGCGGGAGCACCACCCACATCAGATGTGCCGGTGCAGGCAGAGCGGGTTTCACTCCACAGACAGGTGGGCGGTGAGAAGCCCCCTCCTTCCCCCACCACCTCCCTGTGCTCCAGCGTGAAGCCGAGAGTGTTCGAGATTCGCGGACGGAGCAGGGCATCGGGATCCCAGGAGGTGCCCTGAAATTGGGTGCTATTTTGTTGTGGAAGTCTCTGACAGGCACCCATGCTGTTGAGATTTTTGTCTCTTTCACCATTTCTGTTTAATGGTGTTTCCACGTGGCTGCATTTTTAGTTCATTTTCTTCTACTGCAGTTCATGTCACTGGAGCTTTTTTTAAAATAGTTTTCCCTGTTCTTCTGTGCCCCCAGGGGACAGCCCCTTTTAGGTTCCAAATGTAGAGGGACCTTCCTCATGGTGGGAACAGATTCCCTCGGTCTCCTCTGCCCTCACCCTTTCTATGGTTTTCTGACAATAAAATCACTTACTTCACAGCACAGATGCACAAGCATGTGCAACGTTCTTTCCTTGATAGCTCGTGTGGTTGATTAAAGATGGCTGACAAGTCTTTGCTGCTCTTTCCAATGAGAGGTGGGGTTTGAGTTCCCTCCCCTTGGATCTGGGCTGGCCTTCGGACCTGCCAGACCAACAGGTGCAGCGGGAGAGCTGTGTCGGGAGGCTCCTCCCTGCTGTCTTGGGCTGCTTCACCCTACTGATGTTTCCTCTTGGGACCTTCGTTCTCTCAACCCAGACCCCACACTAGGTGAAGCTCGAGTCACATGGAAAGGCCACGCAGAGGCGCCCATGTCAGCAGCCCCAGCTGAGTTCCCAGCATCAACAGGCAGCCATGTGAGCAACCTCTGTATGAGCCTGGTCAGGCTGCGTAACAAGGAACCACAGACTGGGTGCCTCAAACAGCAGAAACTTGCTGCCCTCAGTTTTGGAGGCCAGAAATCTGAGCTGGAGGTGACAGGAGAGCTGGTTTCTTCCTAGGGCTTGGAGGAAAAGCTGTGCCAGGCCTCCCTCCCAGCTTCTGGTGGCTTGTTGGCAATCTTTGGCATTCTTTGGCTTCTGTTGCAGTGCTCCAATCTCCTCCCGCATCTTCACACACGTGGTATTTGCCCCATGTGTGTCTGTCTCCATGTCTAAATTTCCCTTTTTTATAAGGATGCCGGTCACTGGATTAGGAGTTACCCTACTCCAAAATGACCTCATTTTAACTAATTCCATCTGCAACAACCCCATTCCCAAAGTAGCTCGTATTCTGAGACCCTGGGGGTTAGGACTTTAACATAGGAGTCTGGGGGCAGGGACATGATCCAGCCCATAATAGCCATGTTGGACGTTCAGTCTGGTTGTGCTTCCAGACGACTCCAGCCCCAGCCACCATCTGACAGGAATCTCCTGAGAGACCCCGAGTGAGGACCGTCCAGCTGAACCCAGTCATCTCAGAACAGTGAAATTAATAATAAATAGTTGTTTTCAGCCACTGAGTTTGAGTGGTGTTTACATCGTAGTGGATGACTGCGACTCTGGTTTTCAGTGAATAATTAAGTATTAGGTTGAGGACGCTAAGGTCCCGAGTGGATCAGCCCCTGGACGTTTTTAGGGGTGATGCCTAATGGTGCGCTAACTACATAACAGTCAAAACAGAGTTCCCGTGAATGGCAAGTTGTCTTACTTAATGTTGCTTTTCACAACAGCAGCACCGTCCACTTTGCTGGTGACTCCGGAAGCTTCTTGCTTTTATCCTCTGTCAGATCACCAGACCTGGGCTGTGCGTGATATCTGGCTGACCCCGCAGTCAAGGAGCACAGGTATTGACAGTAGACTGCGTATTATCAAGGCTGGCTTTTAGGACTCAAGTAGGTTTTATATATATATATATATATATACACACACACATACACACGTTAATAGGTAAGTACATTTTAAGCATAATTTAGGTACAATTTATACATTTTGCATTATTCAAATGAGAGGCAGTTGGTCTCCAAGACAGGCCTCTTGCTATGAAAATATGTCAGAGAAAGTGACAGAGCCACTTGAAATAATGATCAGGCAGATATTTTTGATTCAGAGAAATATGGTTTACACAGCTTCTCTCAAAGTAAACACAGTGAGATGGGCCCACCTTTGCCTACCCTCCAAGGTGTCAGTAGGCACTCAGCTGTTATTTAGAGGTGGGGGCATTTGACAGAACACTGAGGTCCTTTCAAGAGAAGAGAGTGGGAAGTCACTCTGGAAAATTTCTGTTTAGATGGTACCTGCTCCAGAACCTCTGATCTCTAGCACTCTGTAGTGCCAGGGTCTCTTGTCACCCTGGCACGAGTGGTCCAGAGGTGACACCAACCGCCTGCCCCAAACCCTCCACGTCTGGCTGACAACTCACTGGAGTTCTGTATTACACTTCAACGCAGCTCATCTCAGGGAGTTACAAAGTGGTTTTCATTGCAGATTATTATTATTATTATTTTCAGAATATGCTTCCAAAAGCTGCCTGCTTATGAAGGAAGAAATCCTGTTTTCCCTGGAGCCTGGCTGGCCTCTGAGCGCTGTCACCACCATGACTCTGCCAAGACAACTCACCTCTGTGTTCGTGCCCCCACCATCTGGATCCTCTTTGCACTGCTCGAGGGTCCGCCCTTCCTCCTGCCCCATGGGCCTGCAGCAGAGGGTGCGGCATCTCTGGGGTGGAAATAGCTGGGGCTAAGGTCTGGGTGTGGCCGGTCTGCCCTCTGTGGCGCCTTGGCTCCATGCTCTCTCTCAGAGCAAAGCGCCCTTCCTCCACTGCCATCACTTCCCGGTGTCACTGTCTGCCATGCCCGACATCCGCCCTGAGCATTGCCGCGTCTGAATTTTTGCTGGTGAGTTTCTCTGAGGGGTGCGAGCAGTGGGGTGGCTGGGAAGAGAGGTGGTGAGACCTTGGTAACCCCACATAGGGGCCCAGTCTCCCCAGAATAAAAGCCCTAACTCAGATGCAGAGTTGCTGGAGGATTCAAGCCCAAGTGTCACAGGACAGCTCGGGGAGGGATGCCCGGGGGAGGAGAAATCCGGTTTTCTCTGGGTGCAGGCCTCCTGACTGCGTGACTGCCCCAGAATGAGGGTGCAGAGGCTTGAAGCCAGGGCCCCTCAAGGCCCCTCCTCACTCTGGTGCTCTGAGCTTCCCCGTGGACTTTCTCTGACAAAACACTTGTGGCTGCCCTGACTCCTTTAGTGAGGTCCAGATGGAGAGAGCTGCCAGAGCCCTGCTTGTCGGAACAGGGCCCCTTGTGCACAGGGCTGAGCCCCACATCCAAACTCATCAGCTCTGCCGCTGCAAACGGAGACCAGCCTTATGTCTCCTCACCCTGGTTCAGGGCTCCTTTCACCCACGGGCGAATCATCGGCCAGAACCGAACATACGGAACAGACGGAGGAAGGGCCGCAAGTCTGCCATTTTCCTGGGGTGGAGGCTTTGGAGGGAAGGATTGAAAGCGATACAGAATGAGCTTGTGTTTGCAGAGTGGCTTCCAAGGATGCTGTCCTGTGCACAGAGCCCCAGAGGAGTGAAGTGTGGAGTTCCTCGGCCCTCACCAGGAAGCACACGCCCGCTGGAGGTGGGACCAGTTAGGGTCCAAGGCAAAAGGCAGCACCTATGAAGGGGATGAGAGGGCTGGTGGGATTGGGGGGCCAGATGTGCAAATCAGGAAGGCCAGCAGAGATCAGGCTCAGCCCTAGTCTGTCCTGGAAACAGAAACTCTTGTGTTGTCCTTGGAGGTCCTGTGGTGGGGTGGGCCTCTGGGATCTGAGATCCTGTTTCGCCAGCGTTTCCCTCAGCAGTGCAGCCAAGATGGGGTTGGTGAAGGAACTATGCTTGACGGAATTCCATTCCTGCTGTACTCCATGAGTGTTTCAAACACAACATGGTGACCAAAAATTGTCCCTCGTGGTTGGCATCAGAATCCCTGTAGGGGAGAATGTTCCTCGTTGAGGAAGTGCTAGGGTAAGGCTGAAACCACCTCGGTCCCTGTGATATGTCATAAGAAACATACACCAATATTTGCTCCTCATTTCTTGCACAGAGCTCCTAAAACCCTTGGAATTTCCTGTGATAAGAGCAATAAAGATGTCTTTCGTCATGTTAATGAGGTGACTTTTGGGAAGCACTTGGGGGAGGATGGGGGCTGGCTGCCAGGAGAACCAACCTTGATTAGGGGGTTGGACTTCCAGACCTCCGGGAGCGGAAAGGGGCAGGAGGTTGCATCAGTCACCCACGACCAATGATTCAATCCATCCTGCCTGTGTAGTGAAGCCTCCATATAAACCCAAAAGGATAGGGTTTGCAGAGCTTCCAGGTTGGTGAACCTGTGGAGATTCGGAGAGAGTAGTGCTCCTGAAGAGGGCATGGAAGCTTCTAGCCCTTCCCCCAAACCTTGTCCTATGTGTCTCTTCCATCTAGCTGTTCCTAAGTGAAATCCTCTTATAAGAAACTGGTGATCCATTAAGGAAAATGTCTCCCTGAGTTCTGTGAGCCACTCTACAAATTAATCGAATCCAAGGAGCGGGTCGTGGGAACCTTCGACCTATAGCCAGTTAGTGAGAAGCTCACATGACAATGTGGACTTGTGATTGGCATCTAAAGTGGGGGCAGTCTTGTGTTACTGAGCCCTTAACCTGTGGTGTCTGACACTATCTCCTGGTTGATGGTGTCAGAGTTGAGTTGAATTCTAGGACACCCCGCTGGAATCAGAGAATTGATTGGATGTGTTCGAAATAACCCACACATTGGAACTGGGCACAGGATATTAGTCCCCCTCCACCAGGGACTCCAGGGGCTGCTGGTCTAAGGCTTCTGAACAAAGGAAAGGAGTCTGGGAAGGAAGAGTGTGGAGGGGCCAGGGAGATCATGGAAGGCTCCATGTTAACCTCAGGAACCTGTGCTTAAGCCTGAAAATTTTTCAGAGGCCTTTAAAAGTGCTTCCAAGGAATATAGGAATGGTCCATAAGCACATAAAGAGGTGCCCCCAAATTAAGCTCTTCTAAGAGATTAGGAAAAGGTGTTCATCAACCACAGACATTGTGAGTCAGCATGCTGTGCTCTAGTGACACGTGTCCCTTCTCCTTGGAATCCTCTCATCTCGTGGGCCTTTCATCCTTTTGAGAGTTTTCCTCTGGGATTCTCTGTCATTAGATTAGCAAACATGTCATTAATGCTCAGCCAAATCAAACAGAAGCGAAACACAAATGATGTTGCAGGATGGAACAAGGAGCGATGGTCTCTCGGGAGCAGTGGTCTCTCAGGGCTGGTGGTCTCTCAGGGGCGGTGGTCTCTCAGGAGCCGTGGTCTGTCAGGAGCAGTGGTCTGTCAGGAGCCGTGGTCTCTTGGGAGCCGTGGTCTGTCAGGAACCATGGTCTCTTGGGAGCAGTGGTCTGTCAGGAGCTGTGGTCTCTTGGGAGCCATGGTCTGTCAGGAACCATGGTCTCTCGGGAGCCGTGGTCTGTCAGGAACCATGGTCTCTCGGGAGCCGTGGTCTCTGGAAGCAGGTCCTCGGACGGTTTGCTAGATGAGGCTTCCTCCTTGAGTGGCGGCATGTTCTGTTCCCCTGGGCCAGGCCTCCGCAGCCTCTCCTGCCCCAGCTGCTCTAGTTCTGTGACCACTGAGGATGCATTGTCTCCTCCTGGACGGAAGTTTTCTGCTCTGATGTTTTGCACATCCTTGGGCAAGGTCAGCCTCTAAACAGGAGCATGGGCATGGGGGAGACCCTCAGCAAAGACCACCCACCTTTCTCCTGGGGGTTGAGGAGGAGCTGAGGCTCCATGTTGTTACGGAGATAGTTGTGTTATGAAGCAAATAATGCAGCTGGAGAAACTCCATGGCGGGATGAGGTCCAGTGCCCCAGCATCCAGCGGTCACTCTGCCTGACCAGCCAGGAGCCTGGGAGGAAGTTCTTACCGAAATCCAGCTCATGGGAAGCACATGCTGGCACCAAGTGTGAAGGAACTCTCCACATTCGTTGTGACTTTATCTAAAGTTGTATACGTGGTAGGCTGGTCTGACGCCAGCCTCAGCCTTGTGAGAAATCTAGGAAGGCAATAACCCTGGTTCACCAGGAGGTGGCTCTGCTGTGCATGCTTGGTGCCAATGGCACAGCACACATGTGGGCCATTTTGTATTTTGAATCAAGTGTCACCAACACACAACAATTCCCTAGAGCATAGAATAAAAGCCTCCAGTGTGCCCTGGGGAGAACACTGAGTTGGCCGTGGCTCAGCTTGGGAGGAGCGATGGGAGACCCGGGAGGAAGCAACTGCACGTGTGGCCCAGGCCTGGTCCGTGGAGGACATTCAAGGCACTCCAGATGGGGCAGCTGGCTCCCGGTCAGGAGAAATCCAGCCTTCTGCCAGCTGTGAGCATCCTAGGGTGTTGTCTGCATGTGGGGTGGCCTGGGAGGTGGGTCCGGAGGGTGTTTGTTAGTTGATTTAACATTCTTTGAGCACCCCCTGTGCTGACACATATCAAGTGCTGTCACTGCTGTGGTGGGCTCTCATCCCCGCCCACGAAGCTCTCAGGGTCTGGGCACAGAGGTAGGAGTGGCTCAAGATAGACACTCGAGATGGCACTTCAGGACAGGAGGACAGGTGCTGGGGTAGAGGCAAGCCACGGCTGCAACAGGCACAGAAGATGCCACCCAATGCAGCCTAGGGCATCAGTGAAGGCCGCCTGGAGGAAGGGAGGTCTAAACAGCCCCAAAGATAAATGGGAGTTATCGGGAAAGGATGGGACAAGAGCGTTCCCACGTAGGGAGCAGCAGAGCCTCCTCTCCAGAGGAGAGTGAGAGCAGAATGCATCTGAGCTCTGAGGGTGGTCAAGTAGTAAGAAATGATGCTTTCGTTGCTGGTTGACCACTCCCAAGGTATGGACAACTGTGTGTGTGGTACATGGGCTATGTACGGAGTTACTATTTCCGAGAAAAAGCTAGCCACTTGTAATCATGTTTACATTTTGTCTTTGAATTTTGGGAAATTCGTGTTTCTCTCCATTCTGCTGGTTAATTATGCTGGAAGATGGCAGTGGGGAGCGACGGCTCTTGGCCATCGCATTTCTTGAGAGAAGCTGTGGGGGTGAAAGTGAAGGATCAGCAGATCAGGAGTCACCCTGTGGGTGCAGGTTTGCTGCATTTAAGGCACTCTCTGGGCCTCTGCCTATGCGACCTCTCTGATCTTACCTTGTCAAAGGAGACGAAGCGTGGTCTGAGGCTGGCACTCTGCCTCTTCACCTGTCAGGACTGAGGAGCAGCTGGTGCCTGGCTGACACGGGTGAGCCTGAAGCGTGAGCACCGTACAGGCTCCCTATGAAGAGGCTTAACTGTGTGTTTTCATTTTTACTGATTAAATACCTTGGTTACAGCTGACTGTGTACATTCCCTGGGTTCCTACAGTCATCCTATCCACCCTGGCACACACACACACACACACACATTCATGCACATGTGTCACTTCAGCAAAAGGTCTGGTTTGCTTTAAATGCCCAAGTATCTACAAAGAAATCCCAAGAGTGTGGGAAAGTCACATCTGTGCCTAAATCCATCATGAAGGGAAAGGAGAGCTATTTGCAGAGGTAGTCTTTCCTTCTCGGAAGGCAGTAAGGCCAGAAGCTGGGGTGCGGTCGGGTGTGGCGGGGAGTGGCTGTCTCGGGACAGTGGTTCTCAGACTCCGTGCCCATTGGAACCACCCTGAAGCTTGAAAAGCGCTGCTGCCCAGGCCACACCCCAAACCAGTAAAATCGCACTCTTCCGAGGGTGGGGCCCAGGCCTTTTCAAGTCCTCCGGGTGAGTCTGGTATCCCGTCAGCACAGAGAACTAGTGTCTTAGGAGGAGCAAAGAGGCAGAAGTGTGGCGGGCCTTCGAGCCCCACTGGCCCCGTGGCCTGGCACTGCGACTGTCCTCCATGACAACCCCATGACTTTCTGGTGTGTGGGCTCCAGGTAGGTGTTTCCCTCTGATGTGGGCAGTTGCTGCCATGGCTCATGTCCCACCTATTGCTGCTCAGAATGTCTGCATTTTCCCTGAAAGTCGTCTGACCTTCTCCTGCTGGGTCTAAACCCCTCAGGAGAGCACTTTCCTGCTCCTGTCACTGCACACAAACACAGGTTCTTCTGCTTGCTGCACAGGAGGTCCGATAAAGGAAAACCCTGAAACACCAGGCTTGTGGCAAGGAAAGGGGTTTGCTATCGAACAGCAGCCAGATGAGGAGGTGGGAGTTAGAACTCGGATTCACATCTTTGAAGGGAGAAAGGTAGGGGTTTTTATCTGGGGTTTTAGGTAGGGGAGTGGGAGCATGTGGCCGTGTTGTTGGTGCCTTCCCACCAGCCAGTATTTGGCCTTGACGACTGAATTTCTTTTCCCTTGACTGTCTGGACTTTTCTGGTTAGTTCTCATCTTCAGCCCACGTTTGGCCTCATGAGGCTGAATCTTGACGTCTGGACCTGACTCCCTGGGAAAGAAGCTCACTCATATACTAGCGAGGGACGGAAGGACCTGGTTAGTTTTGAACAACAGTTGATTATGCTGAGGATGCACAGCCGCAGGTTAGCAAAGCTCATCTCAGAGTTTTTCTCTTCTTCTAGCCCGGGGGAGATTGTTTAACTTCTTCATGCTCAGGTTCACTCCCAGAGCCTCCTTTTCTGTGCTAGGATTACAGAACTGGGCCAGGTTACTGCACCTAGACAAACGCTGAGTTGACATACCAGAGAGACCAGCTTATGGTGGGAGACACAAGAAAATGTATTTGTTCTTCATCAAGTCACTTTCAGCTAGGCACGAGGCTTTGGTTAAAGCCAAGACTCAGGAGAGGAGACGCCGGCCAGCTTGCACCACATCCTACTGTGCTCGCCACCATCCAGAGATGCCGGCCAGCTTGCACCACGTCCTGCTGTGCTCCAAGCTCTTACAGGGAAAGTTGGTTCTGCTTCTGACATGGAGCATCTTTGTCTGGGCCACGTCAGCTCTGGCTCATGGAGGAAATACGGACACAAGGAGAGTTAATAAGGGGGGGAGGTGGGGACCCCTTCCACCTGCCGACCTGCTGGGGCTCACCTGAGGTTGGGAGTGAGGGGCTCTCTTGGCTCAGGTCTCGGTCTTGTGCTCATCTGAAATCCTAGCGGAGCTGGGATTGTACAGACAGGGAAATGGGCTGTGGCACTGCCTTCATTTTCCGCTTAAGCCGAGAAACACTCCAGAAGTGGGCTTGGGGGCTGGATCAGCATCACACCTGCTTCTTGCTTGCTTGGACAGCCCGGATGTCACATTCTCTGTGCTAGGTTGACGTCTGCCAGCCTCACGGTACGAAGACCCTAGAAGACAGCAGTGCGGACAGGGCAGCTAGTTCACATGCGCATTGATTTCTGTCTCCTCTCCCTGGTACTGCCCCTCCCAGTGCCAGTGGAAGGCCAGGTTCTGTGCCCCTCTACAGCAGGGGAGTTCACGTGGGGCTTGAAGACAACCTCCTTCCTGGCCTGAGTTCCTGGCAGGGCTTCTGCCAGGGGGGAGACAGGTAGAGGTAGCAGTGGCCAGAAAAAAGGGAATTATTACCTCTACCTGTCTGAGGATGGAGCTTGGGGGTGCTAAAGGCAGGTCTTGTAACAATCAAGGGTCTCAGAAGGGGAGGGGCTTATTCCCAGCTTTGGCTTGCCAAAGGCAGGCAGCTCCATCCCTGTCTACCACAGTAATCAGGGCAGCACTGGGGTGAGGCAAGAGGCACAGAACATTTAAGGAGGTGCCTACTCTCTGGGTCATGCAAATGCCAGCCCTGCACTTGCACTGCCTGGAGAGGGGGCGCCTCCTTAGCTTTTGTACCCTAGGCACTTTCTTGCCTCAGCCTAGTCCTGACCCAGACAGTAATTATGAATCTCACCCTTATCACTCAAAACTCTCCCAATTGGGAAGACAAATTTTATGGGCACCCTACTCAGAGAGGAATGGTGGCTCTGGTGTTCCTGGAGAGGATAATCCTAGGCATCTGTGTGCCAGGACTGGGAAAGATGGCCGTGTTCTAAGCTGAGACAAGAGGTACATGCGTTCAAGCACCCTTGGGAGTGCGGGTGATGAGGACGTCTGGCTGTGCTGGGCTGAAGGTCAGAGGTCTTTCACGTTTCCTGGGCCACAGCGTGAGCCTCTAGGCTCTGCTGTGATCCCGGGGTGGTGGGCGAGCCCAGTACCAATGGAGGGGGCTTTGTTGCCAGCTGAGTGAGATGGAGGATTGGAGTCAGACTTACAAATATCCAAGAAAATAAAGAATATGTATTGGCTTGTATCTGAATCTGAATGGAAATACCTAGAAGGACAGACAGGAAACAGGTTACCCTGATGGCCTCTAAGGAAGGCAACCAGGTGGTTGGGGAGCTGAAGGGAGACTTAATTTGCACTATGTACCTTTTTGAATGTTCTACCATTGAAAGGCATCACCTACGAAAAGATAAAGGAAATTCAACTTAAAAAGAAAAGTTAAAAATATGGCTTTTTTTCACACCCACGTTTATGGGCCTAAGATGCAAACCAGTCCTATAAAGGCTGGTCCCTTCAGATGCCTCGCACGCTGCCGAGAGGGGCCGCCAGACACACTGGGAGCTCCTGCTTCCTGATTCGTATTTGCAGACACGACACCATGCCTCAAACACAGCAAGCAGTATTCAGTCAATAGTTTAGGATGTGCTTAAATTCTATATTTAAGCTTAGATTGGGAGCTCCAATCTAAGATGAGGCAACTTTTTGTTTGTTTGAAAGAAATAACATTTAAAAAGGCAAATCATGCTACCTTTGTGGAGTCTGTGCATAAAATCTGAGTGTCTCTGCTCCTCGGTGCAGAATTCCTTAGGAGAGGGGTTGTACCTGTGGAAATCAACAAGGTGGAAACGCCTTGTTGAAAGATTCTCTCGACATCCATTCCCCAGCCCTCTGTCTGCCAGGTGCTGCCCTAGGCAGAAGGGATGCAGCGGTGAGAGAACTCAGAGGCCCTCCCCTTGGGAGCTCATGTTAGAGTGAGGCAGGGAGCAGCGGCAGACAGTAAAGATGTAAATATATTCCATGCCTTCCAAGGATTAGGGCGGGGGAGAAAGGACCGGCAGCTGGGGAAGGGTGGAGGTTCGCAGGTTTGGGTGATTACTCTTTCACATCAGGTGGTCAGAAAAGGCCTCCCGGAGGAGGAGATATTTGAGCAGGGATCTGAAGGAAGTGTTTGAGCCCGCCATGTAAATATCCGGAGAGAGCATTCCAGGTGGAGGGAAAACCCTGGGCAACGTGGTGGGATTGGTGTGGGGCACAGGGACAGGAACGGGGATGAGGATCAGATGGAACAGTCAATGGGGCCAAATTACCTACTAAGAACCATGGATTTTCCTCAGAAGGACAGCTAGCACTATTGCAAGGCTCTGAGCTAGGGAGGTTTAGGAGGAGCGTCCAGGCTGCTGGGAGGAGTCTAGGCTTCTTGGAGGCGACCAGTTTTGGGGCATTGCAGGAACCCAGGCAGATGAGGATGAGGCTGGGGCCGGGTGGTCACCATGGGTGTGGTGGGAGGTGCTCAGACATCAAGAAAGAGTGGACTGGGATAGTGCCAAGCTGCAGCAGTGATGGAGTTACTGTCAAGTGAGGTGGGGAGAGATGAGGGGAGACCAGGCCAGCGGGATGGGGAGGAGTGAGGAGTGAGTCTGAGCTGCTCAGGGCACCTATGTGAGGTTGCTGAGCAAGCAGGTAGATGCTTGTGCAGAGCTTGGGGGAGACGTGGACGGAAGTACAATTTGGGAGTTGTTTCTTACAGATGGCACTTGAAGCCATGGGCTGGAGAGCTCTCCAGGGGCGGGAAAGTGGACAGAAGAGGCCTGTGAATGGAGCCTGGGGCCCCCCAATGCTGATCCTCAGACGAGACACTGGGAGTACAGGAGGGCCACCGTGCCCAGGCTCCTGGAGGTCAGATACCAGCCAGACAATGCACGTGTTCCCACCCCTCAGCTTTTCCACCTTCGGATTGTTCTGAACTGAAGGGAAATGAGAGCAAGTCTCATGACGGGCTTGTTACGGAGCCATGTGAATCTTCTGGCCAGGACGCAGAACTGTGTCACTCTTGACCATTTCCTAGGAAAAAGAGTAGTTTTCCTAGGACAAGGGGCATTTCCATTACTTTTCAGTTTCTTTTTCTTCTGAAAGTCAGGTCATTTGTTTGTGGTTTGGAAAGCGCCCGGGTTTCCAACATGCTCAGTCATGGAGCCCCAAACTCTCATGGCCCTGGTCCCAGAGACGTAATTGGACATTAAAAACCAGCAGGGGTGCACTTCTGGGTGGGAAGTGCACTGTGCTGCCGCCAGTGCAGCAGCTCTGCCAGGGGGCCAGCGGGGGGCCAGCTGGGAGGAGGCCCCTGGGAAGCCATGGGCAAAAGGAGCTTCTAATGTCTGCCTCAAGCACAGTGTTGGGTGTCCATGGATAGACGCTTAGGCACACTGCCCAGGCTGCTTTCCTCCCGGGCCACCAGTGTGTTCCTCCTACCCCACACTCCCTGCGCATTGGCCAGAGAACATTCTCTTACTAGCTTTTTTTTTTTGTGCAAATCACAGCTCACTCTGTGGGTTGGGAACAAGTTCTAGGGGAGAAATTAGATCTCAGGATCACGCTGAGATGTCATAAAAGCTCATGACAAGCATTTCCCTCACATACTTCCGAAGGCAGGAGGTCAAGTAGCTGGGTTAACACAGTAGTGTGTTTCCAGAGAGGTCCAGATTATTTGGCTGGGCTGTGTCTTACTTTCGAAATGTGAGCACTTGCTCCCCAGAGTCGGGAACAGATGGTCTCCTCAGCTAAACATAGTGTGCAGCAGGGCTTAGCAAGCTGCACTCTTTCCTGCTAAGGGCTTTCCGGAAGAGAGTGACCTGGTCACATAAGGCCACGTGTCATTGGCTGTCCATCCCCAGCCCACACTGCATTCCTTCTCATACGGGGTGAGAGAAATGGAAGTGGGTCTTCTCTTCCTCCTTCCCTTCCCACCTGCTCTAAGTTCCTGGCAGCCCTCGCCTGGGCCCAGGTCAGCGCCGGGGCATGGACAGCGCCTGACTGCTCTCAGTCTGTGGAGGCAGAAGCAACCTAGAAACGAAGCGCCTTCTGCGTGGGAGTTAGTAGTTCTTCTTGGATGGAGGTCCGTGTCTGCTCATTCCAGGGTCTCCACTGAGATGAGGTCTAGAATAAGTGAAAGCCACTCACTTTCAAAAACGGAAATTGGAAGAAGTGAGATAGTCTGTGGCCGCCCCTGGCTCAGTGCCCAGCATGCAGTAAGTACGTGCCCCGAAACATCAGCTCGCCTTCTTGTCAGTTACCAACCATGTCGTGAAAAATAAAACCAATACTCCCAAAGCTGAAAATGGAGTCTGCTCAGGGTCCTGTACTTTCTAACAGTGATAATCCATAACTGAGTTATCAATGTATTTGATAATTGTGTTATCAAGGAAACATACTTTTGAATTACTAAGGCAATTCTAAGAAAATTTTTACAAGGAGTTTTTGGTTAACTAGCATTACACATGTTGTGGCCTCCTGGATTATGGTGGATGGAGTTTTACTCTGTTCCCTAAAAGTGGCATACCCTCCCACTCCTTCACTCTGTGTAAATCTAGAACAGAGTCAGCTAACTCTATCTCAAAGAGCTGGGAGTAAATATTTTCAGCTTTGTAGGCCAGATGGTCTTGTCACTACTACTCAGGCATGCTGTCGTGGAGCGCCCATGGACGCACATCAGGGAGAGGGCACGACTGTGTTCCAAAAAGAGGCTTCCAGGGGCCAGCCCATGGCCGAGTGGTTAAAGCTCTGTGTGCTCTGCTTTGGCAGCCTGGGATTTGCGGGTTTGGATCCTGGGGAGGGGACCTACTCCTCTCGTCGGCCGTGCTATGGCAGCAACCCACATACAAAGCAGAGGAGGACTGGCACAGATGTCAGCTCGGGGACAATCTTCCTCACAAAAACAAAAGCATAAAACAAAAAAGAGGCTTCCAGGGTGGACCCTGGTTTGCTGACTCCTGCTTTTAGGGAGGTGCTATCCAGCAGAAATATGAGCCACATATGTGATACCCTTTTTAGTAGCCACATTTAAGAAAAGGCAAAAAGAAAGAGGTAAAATTAATTTTAATAATATATTTTATTTAACCCAACACATCTCAAGTATTACCATTTCAACATGTAGTCAATAAAAATGAGCCATTTTAGATTCTTTTTCCACACGGTCTTCAACATCCGGTGTGTGTTCCACACGGACAGCACATGGCACCTTGTAAGAGCTTCGTGGATAGAACACGTGTCCGGCAGCCCCGTCCTGGACAGCGTAGCTCTAGAGAGCGTATTTCACAAACCGTGTGAAGGTCGTCCTTTCTGGCTGGGTCAGTCTCCAATCAGCTCTCTGTTCCTTTCCTCTTTTGGAAACACATTGCTCAGGTCTTCTCCACGTGAAGGGCCAGAGAGTATGATGGGGTAGCGTTGCATGTGTGTGTGTGCATGTGAATGTATGCATGTGGCTGCATGCGTGCATTTATGTGTGTGTATGTATATATGTGTGTGAGTGTGTGCATGTATATATGTGTGTGAGTGTGTGCATGCCTGTGTGTGACTGTATTTAGCAACCTCATCCTCTGTGGGAGGCAAGATTATGAGGATGCAATCCCTGTGCCCAGGGAGCCACCAGGGCCCAGAAAGTATAGTCGGAGGCATGGTGCCCGCAGGCAGAGGCGGCCACAGTGTGGCCCACAGAAGTGAGGGAGCTCGGAAGGATGGCGGGTTTTCATCATGCAGTGCAGAAAGGCTGGCAGCCACCTCAGGGCAAGGGCAAGGGCAAGGGCAAGGGCAAGGGCAAGGGCAAGGGCAAGGTACTGACGCCTCTGTGAAGGCCAGAAGATTCTGGATGCAGCCAGGGAGGCGTGAGGACTCTGTCTGGGACCCAGTGGGAGGTTTGAGAAGGGGAGCGAGGCTTCGCTGGAGGAGTTCCGTGGAAAAGCAGATCGGGCAGCAGCCGCTGGAAGAAAGTGAGGCTGGAGCTGGGACACCTCCTGAGAGGCTCCTGCCTGTAGTAGGCGCAGAGACGATGGGGACGGGGACAGTGTGGGTCAAATGGGCAGGGCACTGTGGCCAGTGGGCTGAGGAGAAGCAGGCAGAGAGGCTGGGAGAGACAGGTGCCTGGGGAACTGTAGTGGTTTTTCCTGGAAGCTGGGCAGTTCTGAGGAAAGGGGGTGGGTGTGGGTTTGGTCCCGTGGAGAGACCGGTCTGCACAGATGTCTGGCTTCCCCTGATGTGCACCCCGTTCTTAGCCGGAGAAGGGACGAAGGGAGCAGGGAGTCATCAGCAAAGGAGTGAGGGTGGAAGCTGGGGTGGGAGGCAACTTCATAAGCAGCTCCTTTTCTTCAATGATATGGCTTCGATTTAATTTAAAGGTCACGTCAGCATCCTATTAATGAATGGAGATTAATTCCTGTCTCTTTACTTAACATCCTGACCCTTGTTATCAGGCATTTCCTCTGACATTTTCTAACATCAGGAGAATTTCTAAACTTTCTTGGGTACTCAGGAGGACTTCAAAGGCTTTTCAAGATACGGAAGTACTGAATATCCCCTTTCCTCATCCTGCAGCATGATTTAAATAGAATTGTGTCAACACATTGCATGGTGTTTTGTTTGAAGTCTGTGATGGAGACAATTTCATTCAATCTGTTGTGCTTTAGAAATGCTATAGGTCGGTCCTAGAGCACAGAAGTCATTTGGGACGTTTCCAGGCCTGCGGCTGCCAGCGAGAGGTCTTGTGATGGCCGGGAGGCCCCAGCTTTGCTGGTCTTTTCTGAATGTGTCAAATGGGGGTGAGATGTGGACCCTGTCCCTGGATTGGCACCTCTGTTCCACAGAGACAGAGGGTTGAGGCTGGTCCTTCAAGGCGGGGGTGGGAAGAGGACCTGCGAGAGGACTTTTCCTCCCTGTCCCTTAAAACAGTGAAGCATCCAGTTTTGGGTTCTATGTAAAGTGTAGTTTTGGGGAAAACAACTGACCCACAGTGTGAGATCTGATCCTCTTTTTCTTCCTGGGGAGGACACGTGATGTGGGTGGACATTATCCCAGGTGGTTGAGCCCTGCTTGACTCTCTGTTTCACCAGCCACGTCACCTGCAGGGGAGGCCACAGGTGGAGATGGCAGAGCCTCTGAAATGCTCCCCTGAATGGTTGGGTCACTGCATGAAGGACAGCGCCTGGCAGAACCATCCGGATGAGCGGCGGCCTCTGAGGGAGCAGGAGATCAATGTTCTCTGTGTTAAGTTCCTGGTATCTTGGGCTTCTTCGTTTCTGCAGCCTGGCTTCCCCTAGTCCTGCCATTAACTCTGTTAAAAATGGCTTTGCCTGGCCAAAGTCCTTTCCAGCTCCGTGAGCCCGGGGCATTCTAAATTTCTTTTCCACGTAGAGAGTTTTTATTATTCTTTGGCTACAAATTGAGAGGCATCTCCATGCTGCGCAAGCAACAGAATGGTACTGATGAGAGGGAGCAGAACCAAGGAACTGGAGGGACTTGCAAGGCCTGGTGGGTCAGTGCTAGCTGAAGGCAACCGAGTGTGAGGGTGGCTAGAGGGTCTTTGAGGGAGGAGCCCGCGGAGGTCTGGGCCTTACAGGGAAGCCTGGAGGCAGGTGGCAGGGGTCCGAGCATGAAGACCAGTACGCAGCAGCTCTGTGCTAGGATCCAGAAGAACGTCTCCTGGAGGGGCAGGTGTGTTCTATACATCAGAGATCCAGTGTTCCAGGCCTGGCTGCTGCTTCTCTCTCAGGACAAGAGAATGAGGGTAAAGACTAAAAGGCATCGCGGTGTTTCCACTGGGCTAGATGCTTTACGTGTGTTCTCTCCACTTGTTACCACCTCCCTGCCAAGCAGGGAGATGATCTCTATTTCGCTCACTAGAGAAATGCAGCTTCGAGAGATTAAATGTTTAATGCAAGTGTGATGCCAAGACCTCTACCCTTTCCTCCACACCAAGCTGCTTGGCCAAGGAGAGACTCCTGAACAAGGCTGGAGGTGGAGCTATGCTGTCAACAAGGTGGATTTGAGGGAGCATCAGCGCGGTGTCCTGCCCAGGGGTCTTAAACTCTGGCGCACTAGACCAGAAGACTTTTCCCTCCTGGGATTGTCTGGCCGGGGACTTTGGGGATGGGTCTGATACTGGGGCTGCCTTCTTCTTTATCAGTCTCCTACTGACCAGTGGCTTCAGTGCAGCAATGGGGAGCAGGCCCAGTTCACTTGTCTTCTGATCTCAGTGAAACTTCTCCTTTGCAGCAAGGGTGTAAACTACATTGATGAGTTCCAGTTGTGAGCAGTGCTGGGCTCACCAGACACCCTCTGGTGCCTCCACCCATCCTGGACTCCCTGTCTTCAGTCGCTCTAGAAGCAGCGCCTACAGGGCACAGCTCCTCTTCAGAGGGCTGCTTCCAGGGTCCTGGCGCTGCTCTGCCTGCCAGCACAGAGCTGGAGGCTGAGCACTTCCCTTGCTTCCAGGCCACCTATAGCCCCCAGGAAAAGCCTGACTGTGGGAATAGGACAGGCCACCTGTGCCTGGAGTCCTGACTCTGAGCTGGACTCACACCCTAGGGCGCCTTCGGGAGTGGCCTATGGTGGGGTCTGGGTGACTTCCCCTGAGTCTCTCCAGTGTTTGACTCCTCCTCCTTCCTTGTCCCATTTCTCCTCTCCTTTGCTTGTTCCCCCTGGGAGCCCTTCCTTTAATAATCATTGCCCACTGATCTTCGTCTCAGGGGCATCTTCTGGGGAACTGACGTAAGCCACACACCTCTTAAAACCATACCATGGTTTTTGACATAAAACCTGTTGTTCTGATGGAAGGATGAGATGTGTGTGGGTCCAAGGGGAGGGAGGCTAATAATTTGTATCCTTTTAACTTGAGATTCTTTAAATGTTTGACATTCATTTCATGGGAGTGGGGTGGGAAGAAATGACTCTCTTACTAATAAAAGCTGCAGCCAGAATCAGATTCACTGGAGCGGAGTCAACATTCTGAAATATCCAGCAGGGCATTCCCCTTTTTCTGTACTTCCTGTTCTCTCTTCAGCTGTCTTCAGAATTTTCTAAGCAAAATAGCCTCTCAGGAGGCTGTTTAAGGGATCAAATATAGTTGCGAAAATGAATCACTATTTTCTGATACACAGCATTGGCCACGCTTTATCTGCTGTCAGAAATTCTGAGATGATGACAGCTGCTTTCTCCAGTGACTGCGGCTCTAAAGAGAAAGATGTGGGAGAGAAATAAAATTTCTTCATATAATGATCAGGCATAACAATCTCCCAATGGCCTCATTTTAAATACATTTGAGAAAAGTACAATTTCTGAGAAAAATCTAAAGTCTTTCCCTTACCTGCCAGCAGGGTGGGCAGCTGGGGGGACCCCAGGGCATCATAGAGCAGGGCTGGGTCAGACTCTCGCTCCACCTGGAGAGTCTTCGAAAGGAGCCAGAGAGCTTGGGCGCTTGTCCTTTCCCTACACTCCGTGACCTGGAGGAGAGAGAAGAGACACTGCTGGCACCAGGGGTAGAGTGCCAGGCGGGTCATTGTGGTGGGGGAGCTGACACCCTTCACTCTTGCCCTCTGCTGGGCATATGTATTAGCTCACTGCATCCTCACAGCTGCCCTATGAGGGAGGGGCTACTATTGTGCTCACATCACAGGGAGGTTAAACGTCCTGCCCAAGATCACACAGCTAATGAATGACAGAGCTGGGATTTGAAGCCAGGCAGCCTGGCTCTGAGTCTGTGCTCTGAATAGCAACCCTGTGTGTGTGATCTGGCAAAGGGGCAGAGAGGCAAGAGCTGCCCATAGGAATGGAGGTCGCCAACCCCTTAATCATTGGTGAATTTGCTGGTTCTTCCTCCAGCTGCTGTGACCCACACAATGCTGGACACAGTGTTTTCACTTGACAGCCAAACCACGAGCGTGCCAGACTCTGTCCTGGCCCGCAGGTAGGCCGCTGCCATGCAGGAGCCACCAAGGAGCTGGGGTTCACATCGGGGTGGATCTGGCAAAAGGAGGAAAGGTCACGTCTAGTAGGAACTGCAGATGACAGGCTCGGGGTGCCTTAGAGATACTCCTGACGAGGGGAAGGTTTGGGAGTGTTATGAACTGAATGTCGGTGTCCCCCCCAGATTCCTGTGTTGAAGCCCCAATCCCCAGTGTGACTGCACTTGGAGGCAGGGCCTTTATACAGGTAAGTGGGGTTCCACAAGATCGTAAGAGTAGGGCCTTGATCCAATAGAGTTGGTGACTTTATGAGGAGAGATCAGAGCTTGCTCTCTCTGTGCCCATGAGGATACGGCGAGAAGTGCTGTCTGCAGGCCAGGAAGGAGCTCTCGCCGGGAAATGGACGAGCTGGCGCCTTGTCTCGGACTGCTGGCTTCCAGAACTGTGAGAAATAAACTTCTGTTGTTGAAGCCCCCAGTCTGTGGTATGTTGTTATGGCTGCCCAAGCAGACTAAGACAGATTTCGGTACCAAGATGTGGGGAGCTGCTGTAACAAATACCTAAATATGTGGAAGTGGCTTTGCACTGGGTAATGGTAGAGGCTGGAGGAGTTTTGAGGTGCATGCTAGAAAAAGCTTAGATTGCTGTGAAGAAACTGTGGGTAGAAATATGGATGTTAAAGGCAATTCTGGTAAGGTCTCAGAAAGAAAAGAAGAGAGCTGGAGAGAAAGACTCCATCTTCTTAGAGAACACGTAAATAATCAGGAACAGAGTGTTCGTGGAAATGTGGACATTAAGGTCATTGTGGTGAGGTCTCCAATGGAAACCAGCAGCAATGTGTAACTGGAGACCAGAGGAGAGGGGATGTCTGTTATAAAGCAGCAAAGAACTTGGCTGGAGTGTGTTCTAGTGTTTGTGGAAGACAGAACCATGATCGATGAAGCTGGATACTGAGCTGAGGAGATTTCTAAGCTAGAAGTTGGAGGTGCGGTCTGGATCCTCCTGACTGCTTGTAGTGAAATGCAAGAGAAGAGAGAGAAATGGAAAGAGTTGTTAAGCAAAAAGGAACCAGAATTTCACAATTTGAAAAATTCTCAGCCTATCCATATTGGTAAGGCAATTAGTGTGGATGTGAACCGCAAGTGTAACCAGCCACTTCAGCAAAAGCTGGGGACAGAGTTGGGATTATCCTGGCAGGGACACTGCCAGTTTGAACTAAAGGGGACAGAAAAATGGGAGGAATGAAGGAAGGCCATTGGATTTCTTTGATTCCACAGGACTGGACAATGGAGCATTTAGTCGTGAAAATGCTTCATCCTTCAAGAAAATGGCAGAATGACCCCAGAGGCAATTCAGAGATCGTCAGGACTGCCACTCTCACCACAGACCCAGGGGCAGGGCTGTTTCCTCCCTGGTTTCTGAGGGCAGGGGGCTTGCAGAGAGCTATAGGGGGTGGGGGTTGTGCCCCACTGAGCTGAAGTGGCCAAACTACCCCGCCCCAAGCCCCACAGAGCTGTGATGCTGTCACCCAGGTGGGCCTGGCAGGCAGGGCATCGAGCCAGAGAGGATTGTTCTCCAGGCTTAAGATCTGATGGAATTGCCAACCAAGTTTTGGACTTGTATGGGACCTGTCCTTCTTTCCTATTTCTCCTTTTTGAAATGCAGTCTGTCCTGTCATCGCATATTGGAAGCACATAACTTGTTTTGTTCATTTGTTAGGTTCACAGCTGGAGAGGAATTTTGCCTCAGGAAGAATTATACCCTGGATCACACCATCATCTGATTTAGACGATATTTAGGCGAGACTTTGGACTTTAGAGTTGATATTGGAAAAAGATAAGGCTCATTAACTCATTGGGGTTAATAGGCCTGTTGGGATGAAATGAATGTATTTTTCATGCAAGAGGAGCACAAATTTTGGTGGTTGCTCTTGCTGCAGTTTCCCAGGGAGGCTAGGCTGTCCTCCTGGCCTGCTGGTTATGGTGCTCAGCTCTGTGTGGCTGCTATGGACCCTTCAGTAAGTTTATTTGGCATGGGGAGCCCCAGCACAGTTGGCTGCAGGTTCTAATAACACATTCCTGTTGCAGCTTTTCTGTTAAGTGAGTAGGCTCCCAGCATGGCTGGTTGTTAAGTTCAGGGGCTTACAATTGCTGTAGGCCTCCAGCCTTCAAGGCTGTTGTCAGCTCAGGATTACAGCTGAGTGGGGCCAGCCCTTAACATGGGAGCACTCAATTGTTTCAGGCTTTGGAAGGAGGGGTCAGTCCCCTATGTGGCTGTTTGAGAAGCAAAAGTCTTCTGCAGCTGACAAACCCAATGGCCCACAGGTCCACATACACTGTCAATACAGTCCTGCCCCATGCGTGTACCCTGACCCCCTGAAGTAGACCCAGTTGCCCCGCTGCAGAGGCCCCCACACACTCCACCAATGCACCATACACTCCACCGGCTCCTTATGCAGGCCCTGCCTTGCAGAGGTGGACCCACTCACCTGTCTGCAAAGGTTCCAGGCACCTTGCCTATGTGGACCCACTAGCTGCTCAAGGGCTTACTGTTGGGTGGGGCCAGTCCCTAGGGAAGGCTGCCTGCCCTGGCTGAGCTGGATTAAATTGGTGCTCTAGTGAGTAGGGCAGATCCTGGGCTAATAGGCCAGAGGAAGAACTCCAAAGGCATCTGCCAGTGTCTATGTCAGCATGCTTGGACTAGGTCACAACAGTGGCTGCCGCCAATGTTTCAGTCCCTGGAGAGGTCTCACCTCTCACCGAGATGCAACCATAGCCTATCAGGTGAGTCTCTTTTCATCAAAAGACTGTGCACTTTTCTTTCTGGTGATTTCAGATTGCTTTCTGAAATGGGTGAATTTGTGAATGGGCCCTTTAAGAGCCAGCTTTCTTTCCCTTATGTCTGATAACTTTTCTGGGAGTATTCCCTGTTGTTGTTAATAGCCAGCAATGCCAGATATTGTGACACTTGTCTCAGTCGTGCTGAGTCTAAAAGCTGCTTGTAGCGGTAATTCTCCCCTGCTCAGGTCCCCTGCTCCTCCAGGGAAGGCTGAGTACTTAGGATTGCACCCAGCCAGCCAGGAAGCACCGCAGCTTGTGAAGGTGGCTTTTTTTTTTTTTTTTCTCTCCAGAAAGGCATTTCTTCCTCTTCCACCTCAGTCAGGACTGTCTCTTGTAGCAGGGGTTCCTTTTATACAATTTTCAATTCTCTCTCAGGGTTAATTCTTCCAAGAGTAGTTGTAAATTAGTTATGTCCATGCGAGGAGGGGAGTTCAGAGTCCACCTACACTGCCATCTTGACACTTGCAATTCTTCTTGTTTTCAACAGCATTTAAGAATATTTTCATGCAAGTTCACGTACTTTCTAGTCCTGAATAACATTAAAGAATATTTTTCTGCAAATTATGGGTAGGAAAACCCCTTCTTGAACCAAGGCAAGAGTTGGAAAGACTGTGTGTGGGTATGCATGTTTGTGTGTGTGAGTGTGTAAGGCAACTGAGCATAAAAGAGAGCACTGAGAACCCTGACCCTGAGGAGTGAAGCCGCATTTGCAGTCTGGGCTCTCAGGCCTCATGGAGGACCTGGATTGATGGGGCGTCTAAGGAAAGAGGGCTGAAGGGCTACAGTAGAGGCAGAACCTGATCAAGGCCAGGTGGGTGTGCTGGGCTCAAGGCCTGGAGATTGTGCAGGCTTGCCAGGGAGCCAGGAACAGGACTCTGGCCTTTGGCACAAGCTGCTGGGTCTACACAGAAGGCAACAGGGCTTGAGTGGTGAGCTTTGTCGAATGTTGCATCTCTTCCAGTGAGGGCAGCCAAGAGCTAGTGTTTTATATGAGGCCAAGAATCTCAGTGAACAAGTCTACAGGTAGCCCACATGGACCCTCTGCAGGCCCTGGAATTGGGGCAGGAGCAGCTTGAAGGTTTTAAAGACTGTACAGGGAAATGGTCACTTTGGGGAAAAACTCAGTTATATCACTGCCAGGGTGGCTGCTGAGGTCCCAGAAAGCCCATCCTGGGTTTTCTTCTTCTAGATTTAGGGGCCCCAAAGTGGGGACCTTGGGCTGTGAATCTGAACCAACGCTCTCAGAGGACACGGTATTGTCCCCATGGTCCTGAGAGGGCCTGCTCAGAAATTTCCCCATAGAGACCATTTCAGGCACCAACCACAGGAGGAGAAACATGAGGAGACATGCCCTGAGAACTGGAGTAGCCGGGCTGCCTGGCGACCTCCAAGCCGCTCACTCCTCAGAGTTTAATTATTGTTTTCTTTAACTTCTGAAGGGTTTGGTGTAGTCTACAAATTCAGCCACTGAGAAAGGCTCACAGAGTCCCCCAAGCCCTTGCTCTGATCACGGTTCACCATGCCCTCGAAAGTTCACCCTGTTTCCTCTCCCCAAGACCTTCTTACTCCCAAGGGTTTCTAAACCCTCTCAAAGGCAGGCTCCACACCATCTCACCTCTTTTCCTCAGCTCAGAAGTACCAGGCAATGCTACCTTTGCTGTTTCTTCCCCTGTGGCCAGTGGAGGGAGAGGTTGGGCCAGAGTTGTCTGGGAGAGGATGGAGGGTGGCAAGGAGCATGGAAAGAGTGGGAAGAGGCACCATTCTTTTCCAGAAGACCCTGGGGTCTTTTCCCAATCTACTTCCAGCACTGATCTGCTGGAGGCCCAAGCATGTGATGTGGGAGAGGAAGAGGGAAATAATCATCCTCAAAGACCCTGGATGCCAGGCAGGATGCCAATTCAGTTGGAGCACATTATCAGCTTTTCTGAGAAATCTTGTGGGGCTGATACCTGCTCTGTGAAAACAGAATTCCAGGGGAAAACAGGGTTGCCAATAGGGAACCTCAGGTTCATATGCAATAACAGAATTATTTTTTGTAGCAGATGCTATCAGTGCCCCCATGGCCCACCCTGGTGGTTTCCAACATGCTGATGGATTCCTGTGACTTTCAGCCTGAGGGCGGATGCGGAGTGGAGTCCACACCCCCTCTTCCCTCCCATACAGCAGCGAGGGATGGTGGGTCATCAAGCAGGTACCTGTGTCCTTGCCCCTTGGTGGGAGGAGTCTGCAGTGGTTGGCCAGGAAGATCCTGGTGGGACCGGCCCCCTTGCCCACAGCGTTAACCCCACACTGAAGCATCTTTTGTTGCTTGTCCTCTCTGCCCTGGCTCGCCTCCCCCTCCCACTGCTGCTTCCTGAAATGGCTCCAAAATAACCTACTTGTCCCCAAATCCCTGTTTCAGCATCTGTCCTGGGAGAACCCAGCCTAAGACATTTTTTTTTCAAGAATCTCAGCAAAAGTTTTCTGTTATTATAGTTTTCCTAGCATACCGCTGTCTCCATAAGTAAAGAAAAACTTGTTTGAGTTCTTGGGCTGACACAATCTGAATAATTAGAATATTTAAATCTAAGGGAATCCACTAAATTTTCCTTATTTAATTTTTCAATTTGAATCATCAGACATAAAGTAAGAGAGAAATCAAAGGCTGTCTTTTTCCTTCCTTCCTTCCGTCTCTCTCTCTCACCCTTCCTTACTTTCTGCCTGTGAAGCTGCTTTCTAATGCTTTCTTCAGATCAATTTCAGTTTAGAACTGGTGGAAACAGACTAGGGTCTAAAAGTATGAGTGTGTTTCTCTCCTGAGGTCCCTGCGGACCCATAAATCCTGATTTTTTAAAAAAAGATAAGAAATTGCACAGGCCACCCTTCTAAATGGGCCATCCAGTCCAAGAAACCACGAAATTCATTACTGACCTGAACCCTCACCCCTTTGGGGAAAGACAAGGTTCCAGCTGCTGAGCATGGTGCCCGAGGGGCTGGCAAGGAGGGCACTTCCTTGGTAACCCCACTTTCTAACTAAACCAAGGTTCTCATGATCAGTTCAAATGAAAGGGCAATCTTTCTTTATCAGAAAATTGGAAAATATCACTTAGGAAACTATTTTATTTCCATTTTGGGCATATAATTATTTGAACAATTTTGGTGTTCACCTAGCAGTTAGACCTAATTTGGTGCTCTGGCAAATGTTGGAGGTTTTGTCAAATTTTGGAAAATTCCCTTTTAGTCAATGGCTGATTATTGTAAGAGATAATGCAAGCAGAATGGGAGGCATTGGCAAAACTATGTTTGAATTGTCACAGCTCAATTTTTGTTTTAAATTTAATTTCATCTTTCAGATTTTTTTGCTTTGTGAAGTTTTGGCACCTGCTTTTGAGATTTGGCTCAACTCTGACAAAAAAAAAAGTAAAACAAAACAAAACAAGACGCTGTGTGACTTAAACATGGGTTGAATCTGAGAGAAAGGCCGTTCATCTAATTAATTACCTCAACGACATTTCTTGAGTTCATGCCACTACGCCAGCACTAGACATGTAGAGTCACAAAAATTGCAAGTGGGGAGATAAAATGCACATTAGCTTCCTTCAGAGAGTTAGGATTTCAATATAAACAAATTAAAGATCAAAAACGCCATTAATCTTTCATATGTGTTTTTCCATTTAATTTAATACAATATTAGGACTGTTTTTCTATTTAGAGACTAATATTACATTGGCTATCCCTTCAAACAAAAGTAGAAAAGACGTGTCAAGTGCTCGCTTAAATATCAGAAGAAATAATCACGGAGGCACTGTTCAGCCCCAGGTCACTCACATGGGAAGCTTCAGTATCCTGACCAAGACCGAGACCTAAGAAGTAAGTAAAAAGGTCTCTCTGTTACCAAAATAGGTGCCCCAATGTCCATGAACGGACGTATTCCACTCTGGAAGAGCCTGTTAGGCTGTCCCTCAGACCCTCGTGCCTCCTGCTTTACACACAGAGGTGACACACCCAATGCTGTGGTTTCCTGGTCCTCAGAGACTTCCTATGGCAGCCGAATAGAAGCAGGGAGGCGCAGAGAGGTCTGAAAGTCAGAGAGAAGACAAAAACTGTGAAAATCAGGAAAAACTATAGCAATCTGCAGCCAGTTCCGTTGTCCATTGTCCATTGTCTTGCCTGGGTCTGGAGCTGGGGAGCCGGGAGCAGGCTTGCCCGTGGGTTCAGGCATGTCTGAAGGTGGGACGGCGGCTCTGAGTGGTGAAATCAGGGGCCTCAGGCAGCAACAGAGACTGAACTTGGAGACAACCCAGATACAGACGGGTGTCAATAACAGGGTGACATCAGCAGTGAGAGGCTGGAGCCAACTGGCCCAAGCTGAGATACAGCATTTGGTAGAGCCCGAACTGGGACAGAAAGACCCAAATGAGTTTTGCCATAGGAGCACCTACAAGTGCAGGACCCAGGCAGGCCCAGTCGGAATTCTGCTGGAAACCGAGAGCCCCCTAATTGGCTTCTCGTCCTGCTCATTCCACGTGCTAAGCTTTCCTTCTCTGGGCTGAGTCTTAGAGCATCAGCATTTTGGAACATTTCACCTGAGTAGGTGATAGTCTATATTTTACGAAAGGTTTTCTAGGTTTTCCCAGAGACCCTATAAAATAGATGGCCCTAACAGCCACTTATTATTGCTCTGGTACAGGCATTGGTCTAGATACTCAACACATAGCAGGAAGCAAAACAGATATATTCTCTATCCTCCTGCGTTTAATGAAGGGATGGAATCAATACACAGCTGAACTACTTTATACTCATTTTGGAACTTGGTTATAAGTACTTAAATAATTAGCAAATATTACTGATGCTTATAGTGAGAACAGGAAAAATTACGACAAATAGCAAAGTTTGCCTGTGAGGCCTTTCTTTCTCAACCTCCCCCAAAGTCATCTCAAGGAGCAAGGTGTTCTGTGTCCCGCCTGGAGGGACCTCCCTCCTGGAGACATTTCTCAGTGTTCCAGGGTTTTCTTCCCTCGTATTCCTGGTGTCCTTCCTTCCTCTTAAAAACCTCTTCTCCTCTGTCTCATTCATCAGCATTTTTCTAAAACACTAAGTGCCCTGGTGATTCAAATTTTCCAAAAGTATGGCGGGCAATGAAACGTTCCAACACGGTAAAATGAGCCGGACAGAACTGAGTTCTAATTTCAGCTCTTCCATTTACTGGTTATGTGAAGCTGGTGTGCAACTCAACCTGCCTGAGTCTCGGCCTGCTCCTCTGGAAGGTGGGGATAATAGTGGTAACTTTGGTGGGCTGTATGAGGATTAAGTACCTGGCAAGTGGACGGAAAGTGGAGTAAATTCCATTCTCCATTCCTCTCATTCATTGTCCTGCCATTTGGCTGAGGGTATTGATCTTCTTCTTTAACCTACAAAAGGGACTCTAGTGGTGGAAATATCCGGTGGAGTGAGAGGCTGATGGGAGAGATGTGGGGTACATCAGAACTGTGGGACGCCCTCACATCACAGCCTATAGCCAAGTCATCTTCCGGTTACATGCAGGGCTGGCCTTCAATGCTGAAACATGTGGGATGTGGCTCAGGCAACATCAACCGGATGAGTTTGGACCTGGGTGAAGAACCAACACCTTAGCTTAAGTGAGAGTAGAGTCGGCTGAGCTGCCGTTGGCTCTTCAGTGAGTGGGCCAGCGAGGGAACATGTGAGTGGTGCATGTCCACTGGGGCTTCCAGGGCTGTCTTTCTCAAATTTAGATATTGTACAAATCCCTTTCAAAGAGAAAAATATCTTTGTCCCTGAAAGCATGGCGGTTGCGTTACCACTGTCATTGAACTTAGTGAGAGCACTTCCACTGCTGTGTAGAGTGACAAGACCAAGGAAAAGGTTTCAGGCGTCCAAGGGCGGCAGACGGTAGGAGGGTAGGGATCGGGGGAAACTAATGGAGCGAGGTTTGTTTGTGCAGGTCCATCTCAGGGCCAACTTTCTGTCTTCTTCACAACTGTGAAACCTCCCGGGGAGAGGGGATCGATGGCTGTGCTCATTTCTCAGAAATTCCGCCTTTATTCAGATAAGGAAAGCTCCAGGAAGGGTGCCTTCTGCATCTGTGGAATCTCAAAATAATCGTGCCAAAGTGGCAGGTTTTGAGGTGGCATATGCTGAACCCCTTCATTTCCCCATTTGAAACTTTAAGAAGTTATATATACATATTTACATTATATAGTTTATATATTATATATAGTTTATATATATATGCATTAGCTGGGGAGAGAGATTCAGGTTAGATGTTGCGAGACGAGATCTGTAAAGGGGGAGAAACACGAAGATTGGAACAAGCAGAAAAGAACAAATCGAAGCACGTTGTCCTCCGGCTCCTGGAATCAGTCTCTCGGTCCTGGGACTAGCTCAGTGCAGTTGAACAGCTGTGTCTCACGGTGGTGGCATGCTCTCACCCTTCGTGACACCCCTGCGGCAGTGTGGCCTGAAACGTTATCCTTGTGGTGGCTGGAGGGCAGCACCTCAGGTCTTCAGAATGAAGACAGATGTCACTCCACCATGCTGTTATGGCAGCAATGTTTTCTGCTGATGGCAGTGGTACTCTGTCCTGACAGCAGAAGAGCACACGATGCTTCACAGCAAACCCACGAATGAGCCCCAGGGGCATCTCCATCTCCACGCCGCTGAGGCCCCCAGGCCAAAAGCTGTTTCTCTCTGGGCTTATGGGGCTCTGTCTCCCACCTGCTTTGGAGCTGGTGTGTCTTGTTTTCCTAAACATCTTGACTGTATTGGCACAAGGTTTGCAGGCTGGGAAATGGTGCAGAGCTGCATAGAATAAACAGAAACCCCAATTCCCACCTCCTCTCAACCGAAACGCAAGTCCCAGCTGGAGACTGGGGAAATATGTTCTCAAAGCCCCTTAGGAAGAAAAAGAAAATCAAAAAAGAAAAGACAAAAAGTTTTCCTTACACCAAAACTCCTCCTCTTAGGGGGCCTCCTGAGGCCTGTGGTTACCGCCACACAAGGCCTTACCCTCCAGCCCCGTCACCATCACCCACGCCTTCTCCTGGTCCTGTCCCCCGCTCTCTGATTCCCAGAGCTTCAGGCCCCTCTGGTTCCGTCCCCCAGGCTCCGGCCCCTCCTTCTTCCTGAATGCTTTCCTGGCTCCTCCGAAAGGATTTCCTTTCCTGAAGCAGGTTCCCCGACTTGTTTTCACACACACCACTTTCTGAAAAGGCCTCTGCCCCATTCGCTCATAAACATTTGAGACCAGACTTTGAGCAAAGCTCATTTGAAACGCAATCACGCTGTGGCCTCTTCATGGCCGTTGTGCTCCTGCTCGTGGTGTCAGGGACACGGGGAGCCCTGAGGGGAACAGGTCGGGAGTTGCACCAGAGTGGCCTGCAGGTGTGCTTGGGGGACCTTTGCCAAGGAGGCCCTGTGGTTAGGGTTCCCCAGAGAGACCAGCGTTAGCGCTGGTTACGTAGTGGGGACTCTGGGGAACTTACCCAGCACTAGCACAGTGCACGGCAGAGCTGACCTCCCATCTCCCGCCTGCCTCCCTGCTGAGCCGAATGGGCCTCCAGAGCACTGGGACTTTCCTCATCTTCACTACAAGGCCTGCAGGGGCGGCTGCTCTGAGAGGTCCTAAGTGAACAGGACGGGGAGGGCCCTGGTTCGGGCAGCACCTGGCTCTCCCTCACCAGGAGTGGCTGTTCTGAGAGGCGTGCAGTTGTCACTACTCTCATTCAGAAGGACCTTCCTGTTGAGAAGACACTTTCCCCTGACAGCCTCCAGTGACCACAGCCCCTATCACCAACCCCATGTAAATTTTCTGTTATTCATCTCTCACTCCTGGATGCTTTTCTAGTTTGTTTATTCCTCACTGACCAATTGCCCCAAGGAACTCAAGCTTGGGTTTGGAAGCATTTACCTGTTTTTCCAAATTGTTTTTTGTCCCTTTTTTTGTGTTTAGCAGATGCCATTACCAACCACCTGGAATGGACGAGGCCTCACCACAAGAGCAGACCTATGACCTTTGCTTTATTTTTAATGCGAAGATCTCTCCAGGAGAGCTTAGGCCTTATTGCCATTACCTGCAGTGCGTGTGGAAGCACGATTTCAAACTGAACTTGTGCAAGAGGATTCCCACCTCTCCCTTTGGAATACTCATTCCCCATCCCAAATAAAAGGTCCCTGCTTCCCATGGTTCGGGGACGCCATGACTCCGGAGAGGATTCCCCTGGGTCTCCTCTTTGCTGCAAACATACTTCACTTTGTGGGACAGCTGCTTCTGGTGGGGAGTCTGATGTGACTCGCCAGGAGGGGACCTGCTGCGGTTTCAGTAACATAGATGCTTGTAGGTTGTCTCCTCGCACAAGAATCTGAGTGCCGTGGAAGCAGGGACCTTGTGTAGTCCCCGCTGTCTCGCAGAACAGCACCGCACAGGGGAGGTGCCGGTCGTCATTTCTGAGTGGGTGAATGCGTGGATGGCTGCTGGCTGGGGGAGCTGGGCTGGAGAACGGCTGGAGGTGAGGTTTCAGTGCTGTTGTTTCAGGGCAGATGTCTGTGCTTCTCGGCACAAGCAAGCTGCTGCTGCCTCCTGAGTGTCCACAGCTGTGCTGGGCCACCTTGCACCCTCAAAAACACTACCTCAGTTCAAGTGAGTTTCGGGGCCCAAGTTTCTAGGAAAGTCACAGTCCCTCTCAGAGAGGGCTCAGTCCTGCTCTAGCAAGAGGCCTACTGGGGCTGATGATGTGTGACATGTTCCCCTCCACCGAAAGGAAGTCATCGAGGGCAGAGCAGCGATCATCGATGCTGTCACTGGACAACACTGGCTGCCTGGTTAGAACCACATGTGCCCCGACCTCAGGGACACCAGCTTCCTGCTGGACAGCTCCTGCTGTCAAAACGTGAAGGACAACAGAGCTTTTTTCTACCTGACGTTCTTGGTTTAATGGTAATGGAAGCACACGTCTTGTCCGGTGCCTGGTGTTGAACGAGCGTGCCACTTTAAATTTCTCCAGTGAGCACTCTGACTCATGGCATGGGCCGAGGGCAGGGCTGCCCTGGGCTCGGCTGCTGCCAGGGAGGTGAGTCCAGAGGGAGAGCATGGGAGGTACTGTTGACTGTTTCTGGGATGGGGGCTGACATGGCTTGGGGACACCTCTGGACGTCCAGAGGGCTGGTCTGCATCTGGGCAGGATGCCTCCCTGCTGTCATGGAGTGAGCTGCCTTGAGGGGTAAAGGCAGCTGGAACCTCTGGGTAAGAATCACTTCCCCAGACTAGGGAGACCGAATGCTTGAAACGGGAGGAAGGATGGACAAGGAGGAAGTGGGGCCCTGGTCTCAGCCCCTCAACTGGGCATGGCCACAGGCGAGTTCCTCTGGAGCCACAGTGCACTCATTTTCAGAGGAGAGGTATTCTGAGCATTCCTGGTGCCACTGCTGGCGCCCCAGGTGCAGGCCACCAGGTTCCCCTCTTCAGCAGGACACCTGCCTCGATGGCTGATAGCCAGGCTCAGGTTACTGACCTTCTTGAGGTTTTGGCAGGCTGCCCTGTGGCAGGAATGCTCTCCAGAAATGGAAACCACCTAGCAACCCCAGTGCTGGGCAGCAATGAACCCACATGGAGCATTGCTTATGTTGTGTTAGAGGTAAACCCCATAAATGCAGACACTTCATAAAACAAAAAAACCAAACCGTGCCACAGCCTGGGAAATGCACAGGTAATGGAAAGTGGAATCTCCTTCATATGAACAGAGTCCAAAGGGAGATGTTGGACTTTAGAAAATAGGGTGTCTGTGATTTCACCGACGGGAACAAACGGTGGTAGGGATGAGGGTGGGGCTGGATAGGGTGGCTCAGGGGAACCTAAGCCAGCTGTCAGGTCTGTACTGACAGGGATCAAGGAGTCAGAAGAGCAGGATTTACATCCAGGCTTCATCCCTGCCAGGCCGGAGGGTTTGTGAGTCACTTACCATCTTAAGAGTCAGGAGTGGGACTCCTTACCTACCTGTTACCTGCTCAGTCTACTCCCTGCCCTACCTGCCACCTGCCCTACCTACCACCGTCCTACCTACCACTGTCCTACCTACCACCGTCCTACCTACCACTGTCCTACCTACTTCCGGCCCTACCTACCACCGTCCTACCTACTTCCGGCCCTACCTACCACCGTCCTACCTACCACCATCCTACCTACCACCGTCCTACCTACCACCATCCTACCTACCACCGTCCTACCTACCACTGTCCTACCTACTTCCTGCCCTACCTACCACTGTCCTACCTACTTCTGGCCCAACCTACCACCATCCTACTTACCACCATCCTACCTACCACCATCTTACCTACCACTGTCCTACCTACCACTGTCTTACCTACCACCATCCTACCTACCACCATCCTACCTACCACCATTTTACCTACTTCCGGCCCTACCTACCACCATCCTACCTACCACCATCCTACCTACCACCATCCTACCTACCACCGTCTTACCTACCACCATCATACCTACCACTGTCCTACCTACTTCCTGCCCTACCTACCACCGTCCTACCTACCACCGTCCTACCTACCACCCTCCTACCTACCACCGTCTTACCTACTTCTGGCCCTACCTACTACCATCCTACCTACCACCGTCTTACCTACTTTCGGCCCTACCTACCACCATCCTAGCTACCACCGTCTTACCTACTTCCGGCCCTACCTACCACCATCCTACCTACCACCGTCCTACCTACCACTGTCCTACCTACTTCCTGCCCTACCTACCACCATCCTACCTACCACCATCCTACCTACCACCGTCTTACCTACTTCTGGCCCTACCTACCACCATCCTACCTACCACCATCCTACCTACCACCTTCCTACCTACCACCATCTTACCTACCACTGTCCTACCTATTTCCGGCCCTACCTACCACCATCCTACCTACCACCGTCTTACCTACTTCCAGCCCTACCTACCACCATCCTACCTACCACCGTCTTACCTACTTCCGGCCCTACCTACCACCATCCTACCTACCACCGTCCTACCTACCACTGTCCTACCTACTTCCTGCCCTACCTACCACCATCCTACCTACCACCGTCTTACCTACCACTGTCCTACCTACTTCTGGCCCTACCTACCACCGTCCTACCTACCACTGTCCTACCTGCCACTGTCCTACCTACCACTGTCCTACCTACTTCCGGCCCTACTTAACTCAAAGGTGAAGATAGGTGAGGAGGAGGTAAGGCCTATAAATTGACTTGTAAGTTTACAATGACAATACAGGAAGAGCACCAGCACTGGGTTTGGCCTTTCTTGTCCTGGGTCCCTTCCTCTGTCTTCTGTGGCCTCGACAAATGAGCTCAGTTCGGGGCACCTTAGGGGCAGGGGCCTGAGAGTAGCAGCTGCCTCATGCTTACTGTCAGGAGTAAATACTGCAAAGGCCCCTTCTCATCCTCTGCCCGAGTGTGTTTAGAGGTGAAGTTCCGCCAGTGAAGGCACCCACACCTCTGGCTAGTCACAACTAGAAGGAGAAAGGACTTCAGACCCTCTGAGTTTCTCCCAGCGCAAGGTAACCCCTCAAGCCATAGCTGTGTCAGAACCCCCTGGAGGGCTTGTTGAGCACAGATGGCTGCTCCCCACTCAAGGGGTCTGCTTCAGTGGGTCGGGGTGGGCCCGGAATTTGCATTTCTTACAAGTTCCCAGAGGGCTTCAATGTTGCTGGCTGGTGGGTCCACTATGAGGCTTTCCTTGTCAAGCAGAGCCATCTCATAGGTGTGGACACTTACCTGATTGAAGCTCTAACCCTCAGCACCTCAGAATGTGACTGCATTTGGAGACGGGACTTTAAGGAGGTGCTTTAGTTAGAATGAGGTCACTAGGGTGGGCCCTGATCCAATGTGACTGGTGTCCTTATTAGAAGAGGAGATGAGGACACAGCCACACACAGGGAAGGCCACGTGAGGATCAGGAGAAGATGGCCGTCTGTGAGCCGAGGAGAGAGGCCTCAGAAGAAACCAGCCCTGCTGACACTTTGATCTTGGACTTCCAGCCCCCAGAGCTGTGAGGGGATAAATTCGGTTGTTGAAGCCCTCCGGTCTGCAGTACTTTGTTATGGCGGCCTGAGCTGACTCATATACCAGCTTCAGCCCCTCAGGGGTGTGCAAGACATTTAAAACCATGTATTCCTCACAGTGTGCAGCTCAGCACTGGATTATAATCTGACCTCAGCAAACATGTGTGAATGACAATAGTGATGGTAACGATTCATTCTTAGCGTGTTTGAATGTACTGGTATCAAAACAACACCAACTGAAGGTGGAGGCAGGAGAGCATGAATCTTGTGGAGGCCCGTGTCCCGTCTGTGTGGAGGCCTGTGTCCCGTCTGTGTGGGGCCTGTGTCCTGTGTGTGGGGGGCCTGTGTCCTGTCAGTGTGGAGGCCCATGTCTCGTCTGAGTGGAGGCCCGTGTTCCGTCTGTGTGGGGCCTGTGTCCTGTCTGTGTGGAGGCCTGTGTCCTGTCTGTGTGGGGTCTGTGTCCTGTCTGTGTGGGGCCTGTGTCCTGTCTGTGTGGAGAGCCTTGGCCCGTCTGTGTGGAGGTCTGTGTCCCGTCTGCGTGGAGGCCCGTGTCCCATCAGTGTGGAGGCCCATGGCCTGTCAGTGTGGAGGCCCGTGTCCCGTCTGTGTGGAGGCCCGTGTCCTGTCTGTGTGGGGCCTGTGTCCTGTCTGTGTGGAAGCCTGTGTCCCCTCTGTGTGGGGCCAGTGGCTGGCCTCCTGCTCTCTGCTGTCAGACGAGGCACCTCTTTGGGCCTCAAATGTCTCATTGTAAAACGAGGGTAATAAAGGCACCTTCTCAAAAGGCTGTCCCTGGAATTTGCATAAGATACTTCCAGTCAAGAATTCAGCACGGTGCCTGGCATGGAACACAGATGCAGTAGGAGTTGGCTATTATTCAGTTTTTCCTAATAATAATTACGATGATATTCAATAAGGAACAGTCATGTTAGAAATTTGCGTCAGCACACGCACAACTAAATTTGTGCTTAGAAAGATAAATCCAGCTATGAAGAAGCTTTGAAATTTGTTTAGAACATTTGCCTTCAAGGAAGTCCGCAAAGGCTGACCTCCATTTTTCTCTCCAATCCTGCAAACAGATTTGTTTTGTTCCTCATCTTATAGTGACAAATGTTTGTTAGGACATGTGAAACAACCCCCGAAAATTAGAAGAGATAAAAAGCTGCCTGATGCTCACGAACCTAGGCTGTAATAGGTTATATATTTCTTTCCTATCTTTCAAAAAACTTTTTAAAGGCACTATTTATCTTTATCAAATGTATACATGTACATAGTTTAAAAAGTTGAATCACGCTATGAGGCCCGGCCTCTGGGCCAGCCCACGCCTATTTCTCACTCATCTCCTTCAACTGACTCTTCGGGTTCACTTCCTATCTCTAAATCACGTTTATCTCACTACATCTTGATTTTCAGACTTAGACATCATCTACTGACTGTCTTTATGAAGCTGGGGATTTACCTCCCCTGGTGCAGCAGCATAACAGCAGTGCTTTCGAATAGGCGCTCAACTCACCAGATGCAACAAACTTTAGTCTCTGACCGCTCTGTCCCGGGACGCAGGACATGAAGGCCCGTGTGCCTAGCATCTTCAATGGCAGGAGCCCAGCAGCCGCTTCTTTTGCCTCATGCATTTGGGATGTGGGTGGCTGTCACAGAGAAGAGCCTCATCGAGTGGGGTGACCTGGACACAGACAGGCCACAGCCCTGGTTTCCCCTCAATCTCTTACACTGTCCTGGTTACGTGGGCCCAAGGCCAGCATGCCAGCTCACAGCTTCCCGCTTCAGGGCTGCTCTAGAGATCAGGGCTCCAGGGCAGAGCAGGTGGGCGCTGCCTTCCTCTGCAGTCTTCAAGGCAGCTGTAGTGTAAGAAGGCAGACTCGGGGCTTCTTCTTGGGCAGGCCTCAGGCGGCCCAGGCGGGATACGAACCTTTCGCTCCCACATACATCCTCCTTGCCTGCAGCACACACCGGGGCACGCATGCCCACACTGCCTCCTCATTTCAGCTTAGCTATATTGCAGTTTCAGTGCAGTTCCTATTCAGTGTTTATATTTTGTGTTTACGTCACTATCATTGGAAGATGAGCCCTGTAGTATACCATGATTCCTTTTTTCCCCTATGTGACTTTTTGTTTTCCCTGAAGTTCATAATTGTTTCATTTTTTATTTGTACTTTTCAAATAAGAATCACTAATTTATTGTCAAACTCTTCTCCAGTTATTTAAATTAAGATATTTATGTCAGATGCTCTTTTCTTCCTTAAAAAAAGACTTTATTTTTCACAGCAGTTTTAGGTTCACAGCAAAATTGAGCAGAAAGTACAGAAAGTTCCCATACTCCCCTTTCCCCACACTTGCATGATCTCCCCCGCTATCGACATCCTCCACCAGTGGCACAGTTGTTAATAGTTAATGAACCCACATCAACATAATATTATCACCCCAGATCCACAGTTTGCATTAGCATTCATTCTTGATGTTGTAAATTGTATGGGTTTGGACGAATGTAAAATGACATGTATCCATACAGAATATTTTCACTAAAAATCCTCTGTGCTCCACTTGTTCACCCCCCCTCCTCCCTAACCACTGCAACCACTGACCTTTTTATTGTCCCCATAGTTTTGCCTTCTCCAGAATGTCACAGAGTTGGAATCATACAGTCTGTAGCCTTTTCAGATTGGCTTCTTTCACTTAGTAATATGCATTTAAGTTTCCTCCATGTCCTTTTGAGGCTTGATACCTCTTTTCTTTTTATTGTTGAGTAATATTCCATTGTCTAAATGTGCCACAGATTATCTATCCATTTTAGATGCTCTGTAATTTCTTTCTCTTGGAGAAATGTCTCCTAGAGCCCCCGACCCCTCTCTCTAGACTGAGGTCCATGCCTGGTGCACAGTTGCTACCCGGCACCTTCATCTGGCACTTGTCTTGGGATGCCCTCTCCTCGCCTGTGTTTTTCTGCTTCTTCTCC